GTATTTTAGGCACTGCTAATGGCTTTTGGAAGTGGGGGGCATTCCGATTTTTTATTTACGGCCACTACACTGCGTGTTTTAAATATTCTACTTACCGGGCATGTAGATGAACCTGTGTTCAGACTGTTGCTGATCCTTGTGCAAGTTCCGTAGGTTAGAAACACTGATCATTGCGCAAATGTTTAATAACCACAGACTGATTTTAATGTTGTTTATTTAAATATGCCAGGAAATACAGGTACTGTTGGCAATCCACTTAGAAGAATTCATGTCAAACAAGCTGGAAAATATTCTTTTGAATCTGCTATGAACCCTATCACAAACACGAAAAAGTAACCTTGAAAAGCACGTGTCCAATGGCTTTGAAGATGTAAAGCAGCGTCTCCTGCCATCCTAGAGGGTCTAATCGCCTGGTTGTGGGTATATAAGTAAATTAAAGCGATGTCTTATCCATAATTGGGCTCAAAACATGTTTTTTTTTTTCAATTCAACAACCACGTATTAAAAAACACCTGTTGAAAACGCAAAATCAACAGAGAAGGAGCAAAAATCATTTTAAAAGGTACAGTTAAACATAATTCACCATGACAGGTAAAAGTTTTCTCTCATCAATTCTGTAGCAATGGTGGATCTGGTTTGTTATGTTTTCCTCATCAGAAATGAAAAGAGCAACCACTTTGCCTGATACATATCTACACATCACATGCACTCAGAAAGAATGCATTCCGAACGGTGATTATCACACATTGGCCCGGAAAGAATACTGCCCACCCCCATAAACAGCTAGACTTAAAACATTTTTAAAAAACAGGCATCGTCCTTCTTGTTGATAGGGAGTTGTGGGAGAGGAAAAATTGTGCCTCACTTGCCATTTGGTTCTGGTGTTTAGCAAACCATTTAGCTCAATTGAAAAATTTCTACTGGTTGCTGCCACTCCCCAGAATTTTAGTGGAGGGAAACCAGAGTTGGCCGATATCTTGAAAGATGGATTATCTTTCATGCATTCTTCTAATTTTACATTCACATTTGGAAAATTTTCTTCAACTGTAATTAGTCATGTTGTTACGCTCTCTCATTAACAGTCTCATCTGACTTCCAAGATGAGCATTACTAATGCTGGATCCTGAGACACACACGCCAATCTCCAGCTAAACTCTGTTCATTGTTTTGCATTGCTGAAGGCTTGGCTTTATTAGAATTTCTATCTCCAAAAACTTCTGTGTTTAATTTCACATTTGGGGCAGGTAATATTTAGTGAAAGAAATTAAAGAGGGCCCACATAAAATAGGATGGCTTCTTGGGAGTGAGTGTACAATCTAGTTTTATCTGAGGTAAAGGGTATATAGTTTAAATGCGTACCTTAAGCAGCTACACGTTACCCATCTGTTACCTTGCATTCTTTAAAAAAAAATTTTTTTTTTACATTTATTTATTTTTGAGAGAGACAGAGAGAGACAGAGTGCAAGCAGGAGAAGGGCAGAGAGAGGGGGAGACAGAATCCGAAGCAGGCTCCAGGCTCTGAGCTGTTAATACAGAGCCCGACGCGGGGCTTGAACCCACAGACTGTGAGATCATGACCCGAGCTGAAGTCGGACACTCAACCGACTGAGCCACCCAGGCACCCCTGTTACCTTGCACTCTACTGGCACAAATCTAAAGTAGAAAATTAGGAGACTAATTTTTAACCCATAAAATATAGTTCCTTAGGAAGGGGCTATAGAAGCAAGTCTTTGGAACCTCAGCTGGGGAAAAGATCCAGAGAAAAGGATTTAAATTTGGGTAGAGAGTCATACAAAATGTTTCTTTATTCTTCTCCTGACTGTATGTTCAATCTCCTGAAAAAGCTGATCACTCACCACTGCCTATGGTAAGTTCTCATGACTCCCATGGGGCCTCTGGAGAGCAGTGGAAAATACGAAATACACCGTATGCTTCATAGTGAGCAAATAAATGGAGGTAGCAGGTATGGTCAAAGTAGGTAACTTCAAGAGCTTCAGGAAGATGAGTTGTATTAAGAGAGGCCAACACTACAGGTGTATCTTAAGAAGGCCATTTACTTCACAAAGGATCTTTGGCAGAAGGAAGCAAGGAGCTTTTCTAGGAGCAACAGCAGCTCCTCTGGGAGCACAACCTTTTCAATCAATTGGCACAACACTCATCAGGGACCGGATGCCTCTGTGACACGCTGTTTGCATTATTAGTAAGCTTTTCCCCTTTTATGCTAATTTTGGGGTTTACTACAGTCAGTATTTCTTACAAGTTGGAGAATCATCTTCCTGAAAAGCCTAAAGAAGTGATTTTTCTAGGTTTCCAAGTAAAGTAATAACACAGATGAACAGCTCAGCCCTTGACACCTCTGATGATTCTGGCCCAGCATTTATGGAGAGACCGTGTTCTCTCAATGGCATATGTGGGGACAAGGCTGATGCTCATTTTAGCGGTTAACTCTGTCATATCTGGTTTTAACTGCAGTGTTTCCTGAAATTTAGGGGACCTGAAATACGTACATACAGACATACAAATCTCGATAACTACATGCCATATCATAGCACTGTCATATGGCTAATTAAATTTACCGGAAGAGTACTTTTTTCAATTATTTAGGAATAAATGTTTCAAAGATATAGTGCAATAAGCACTTATTAAGAGTTGACCATAAAGATACCTTCTGTATTACTGCTACACTAAATATAAACCCAAAATTTTATAAACAATTAGGGAGGCTTTTACTATATTCAGAATGCCTTTTGACTTAAGACCAAAAAAGTGTCAATTTTCCTATTTTAAGGACAACAAAATACAAGTCATTGCTTTAATGCAACCATGTTCCTTAACACCTCTGGATGATTTCATGGAAAAATCTATGTGTGTGTGTATACATATACATACATACATATATGTATACACAGACATATATGTATACACATATATGTCAATTTTGATTGACATAAAAATCGTATTTCCCAAGACGGAACTCATTTTGATGTTGCAATTTTGTTAACCACCTGGTACTTTCTATAGACAAAATATTCTTCCAATGCTTTCAAAACCATTATCTAAGGAGACTTCTTTCCTAAAAGCATATGTAACCTTGCAAAATAATTTGTCCATGTTATCAATAATATAGACATCTTCTTATAGTAAAATAAGCTAATATTATTTGTTTGGGTTTTCATGCATATGAAATGTAACAATGGAAAACCTTTTATAAATTTAAAAAATTGCTTTGTTTTTCATATTAAGGCACAATAGATGCAGACTGGCATGGTCAAATGACATAATTCTATGAAGAATTAATAGTTACAATTAATACTAAGGTACAGAACATTATAGAAGTCAAAGAGTAAAAGAATTATATTTGAATCAATTCAATTTAGATTTTAGACACAAATTTGGTTCCTCCTCTATTATGTTCATGTGCTAAAGAGTTATATTTTTTCAGTTTGTACATAAAATATCATTTTCCTGCATTCATTTAAAATACAGAAGAAGGAAATAATTGTTTATCTGTGTATAACTTAAACTCAACGGTATCTTTTCTTTCAAAGTAGTTAAAGCACAGAAGATAGGCTTCTTAATCTATTTTAAAACAAAGAGAATTATAGTAGGATTTCAACTGCCATTTTTAAGTGAATTTTACTATATATATGCTAATGAAAAATTCTCCCACCTAAAAAAATTTGAGTTACACATATAACCAGGGATTTAAAAAAATACTTCTCACTATCAATGAGTCACATATATTCTCTTCTACAGTGTTAATTAAATCTTTTTAATAAAATAGAATTTAGGCCTTCAAATGTCTTTTTGAGGAGTTAGAAGTGGTTAATGCAATAGAGAGTACATAATATATATCTTATTTTCTGTTTTAGAAGTGGGTTTAAGAAAATTTTTAAAATACTTTCAATGCAACAGGTTTAAATATAATAAAAAACCACAATTATTCTATTTATATAAGCTCACTCTTTAGACAAAACCATCTATATTATGAATCCTATGAAACAGCTCGAGTACCAAAGTATTATTGTTCCTAGTCATACATTAATTTCATAGACCTCAAAATCAGAATTCTAATACAATTGAAATACTGGTAGTCATGCCTCAGACTTTTTTAAAAAATAGTTTTATTATTTTTTTTGTTTTGTTTTTAATATTTTGAGAGAGAAAGAGAGTGAGCAGGGGAAGGGAGGGGTAGGGAAGAGGCAGGGGGAATATTATGCAGGTTCCACGTCCAGTGCTGAGTTGGACACGGAACCGAACATAGAGTCTGAAGTGGGGCCTGATCTCACAACCGTGAGATCATGACCTGAGCCAAAATCAGGAGTTGGACGCCTAACCGACGGAGCCACCCAGGTGCCCCAATAGTTTTACTCTTTATTTATTTATTTATTTATTTATTTATTTATTTATTTATTTATTTATTTTTTAATTTTTTTTTCAACGTTTTTTATTTATTTTTGGGACAGAGAGAGACAGAGCACGAACGGGGGAGGGGCAGAGAGAGAGGGAGACACAGAATCAGAAACAGGCTCCAGGCTCCGAGCCATCAGCCCAGAGCCTGACGCGGGGCTCAAACTCATGGACCGCGAGATCGTGACCCGGCTGAAGTCGGACGCTCAACCGACTGCGCCACCCAGGCGCCCCTAGTTTTACTCTTTTAATAAATGTTTTAAAAACTTGAATTTATAATATACCCCAAATTTTAACTAATATCCTATTTACTCATAAAATTTGAAACTAAATTTATCAAATAAATGTTATAGAAAGTTCATATAAATCAATTAGAGATTACTGTAAATATTAAATGCATAATCAAAACTAATATCCATACATATCAAATATCTTTTAAAATAGTCAATTATCATCAAATGTAAATTCTCAGACCAATTTAACTGCATTTGTGTTTTTCATGCGTCAATTTCTGTTATGCCTACATAACCTAGTCCTTTATACTTGCACATTTAATTTCAGTTAAAACATTTGGTAATGCCTTCTTTTTTTAAAAAATAAAACTCGTAAGTATTTTGACTGTGTATCCATTTATTGACACGCAGTAAGCTCGTAACTGGAAACTTTTTATTAAATATGAACTAAAACTAGTGGTTTACTATATATTTTACAGAGGACAATATAGGTGTTTGTTAACTCGAAGATCAGTCATATATACCTTAGTTACATGTTGATATTCCAATATTCCTTAAGTACTTACTACATGTCAAGCACTATTCTATCTGTTGTGTTATTTTATATGTTTCAAAGTTTCAAAAATATAGTCTTTTGGTACCTTTTATGCTTTCTGAAACTTTAATATGCTCTTTTATATTTTTCGGTCTTTTATATAACTTAAATATTATCTTTCTCCCAAATATGGCTACTCTATTTTATAAAGAATACACCTATTTTTCCTTGAAATTACATAACTATTTTATTTTTTGAAGTTGATGAATTAAGTCAACTGTTATTCCCACCTCCCCTTCTCCCCTCAACCTGTGGTTGTGCACAACAAAAGTTAAGGTAATATTAACCCACAAAAGGTCTTTTTTAAAAAACAGTTAAACATGGAGAAAAACCTGTCAAAATGGGTTGAGTCGTATTCCAGTCCCTAAAGGTGAGAATGGGTTCACCTTTGCCCACATCAAAGCGTCATTCAATGAGATAGCAGATTTCCCGTCTTCAAGGAAAAATACAGGGCCCTGCACACAGAATTGAGGAGAGAGACGATGAGATTATAAATGTCTAACATGGTTTTCAACCTCCAGAAACAGAATCACTCTGATAAAAAACTACTGGCAATATTTAGGCATCGCTAATGGGAATTTTTAAAATATGAGAAAATCCGATTTTTTTGAACTGCTACAAATATCCCTAAATTTTAAAATATCTTAATATGCCCTGATGCCTTTCACAAGAGAATTTAGTTTTATAACTTAAGTTCTTTGAATACAGTAGTGCTACCAATAACGACAGGTAGTGCTAATCTATTAATACAAAGTAAACATTTTATAAAGGCATACATGCCTAGCATAGACTTAAATATATTTTAATCAGATGGCCTGCATCAATACAGCTGGGGAAATTATTCAGACCAGAAGCTCTGAACCTGCTCTCTAGAAGACAAAGAACATGTTGCTGTAGATGTGTCTACATAATTTAAAATCTTGTCAATCATACGATTTACTAGCATATTTATAATTTAGCTATGTCAGTTACTTTGCATGTCAAGGATAGTTCTGAAGCACCAAATGGAAAGAAATCTTTCAATCTGTTTCTCCTAGCTCTCAGAAGGAAAAGCATGATTTAAAAAAACACAAATTGGAATAAAAACTTATCTCCTTAATTATCTTCTAAAGTTATCAGATTTTTTATCACAATTTCAAATGGTACAGCTTGTTGTTAGTAAATTATTCGAGACACTGGAAAATCCATCACATGAAATAGAGAGCTTCCTACTCTCAAGTACCTACCTACTCTCAAGTACCTCTCAAGTACCTACCTACAGGCACTTGAAATTTCATAGTTCTAACCAGAATATTACTTTTCTGTTGAAACAGAAGTATCCTGGGAGAGGAGCACCCCATCTCCATTAGTCATCTGCACTTCAGTGTGTGTAAGATAATTAGTAGGTCTTTTCCTAATGCAGGTTTGGGTGCGGAGAGGTTAGGCAGCCTATGTGTTGGGCCACGTGGCTACTGCAGATGGAGAAAAAGATCTTGAAGGTATCACGACAAATGGCACAGGGAGGGCCGCGACTAGCGCTGAAGATAAACTCTAAATATTGCATGATCTTTTTGCTCTTAATTATAAGTTACTGAATGTACTGCTTTGATTCTTGACCTCTGAATGGAAGTGGATAAAAACTATGCACGTCAGTGTCCTGTTTTTTCAGAAATATATTAGTTAAATATTCCTTACATAAACTTATAGTGTCAAGTCAAGCTATGGTTAGGGTTTACATTAGCAGCAAGCTACTTAATTTAAATGGTTATTCCAAAAAAGCAGCTGTCCCCATTGACCTGGCATATCAGTATGCGAAATGTAATTAGTCACATTCCATGAGAAATCTAAGAATCCACTGAGTAAAATGTGAACACTTCTGGAAGGTGGTGTTCTTTCAGTCCAGACTGTAGTTTCAATCCGCATTCTGTATGGATTCAGCTTTGTTGACTTCACGTGGACACCTACACCTGGCCCTGACTCTGAGATGATGAAGGCCTCTCCACTGTCTGGAGAAAACAGCACGCCTGGGTCACACTGGGAGGCTCTGGAATGATTCACCATCATTACTTTTGACTGTATGTTAGGGACCTTCCTCAGGAATTAGTCATCCCTTGTGACGGATCCCAGTAATTTGTAACTGTTGAAAAATTCAGGAAGTCACTCTAAGAACATATACAGTATATCGATAACACACACCTGCCAGTTTTTAATGTCTTTGTGTTTATAAAACACAAATGGAGAATATAAAGTTAATTTTAATCTATTTAGCTATAATTTATAACTATGTTGATTGTAGCTTTGTCTCCCTTATTTAATTTCCCAAAGGATATGATCTCTATGTATTTGTAAACATTTGTTACTAAGTATACCTATTACATGAATTGCTTTCATGATAATACAAGGAGCATCTCTCTGAATTTATTTTAAGGAGCAAATGACCATTCATACTAACTATATAGCATTAAGGGCAGTGTTTTCTCAGGGGTCACCAGTCTTATTTATAGGTACCGACTTTTATTCAGATTATGCTTATTCTAAGACCATATTGTTTTGAGAGACTGAACAAATGAAAATAATGGAAATGAACAATTTATGCCTTACATTAGGCTGTACCTGGATTTTTAATCCCGTAAGACAAGAGATGTGAATATCTGAATGACTGGGCAGATTTGATCCAGTCACATAATCTGGCCCAACAATTCCTTTGAGTGGTTCTTCTTGTAGTCTCTTTAGTAAAGTTGCATAAACCATTCTTTGTGAATCAGAAGGGGGTGTATATGGAGATTCTTCTGGTGATCTATATTTTCAACAGATATTACATTTTCATTTTCATACAACCACAGAATTATTAAGGTTTAAGTTAGAAACAGTCCCTGATGATTATTTAGTCCCCATTAGAGATGATGGCAAATTAACTTTAGGCTTAATTTATAGTAAAACGAAGTACTTTGAAAAGGCAGAAAACAATAGGATTGTAAATGATGACGGAATATACGCTGACCAAACCAAGATTCATTTTTCGGCAAAGATTAATAGTGAGCCAATCCACATTTTCAATAAATTTGTGTATAATATTAACACCTCAGTATCCCAATTTTTACACTGTCCTCACTCACCGGCTTGTGGACCGTGTGCAAGCTCTCCACGCATCCAATTCCTCAGAGAGGTGCTCAATTTTTAAAGGCACTGATACCACCCGACGTTTTAACAGCTGACTGAAATGTGGAACAGAAATTAACTGACTTCCAAGACTAAGATATGAAAGAAAGCAAATGAACTTTAAATAATTGCCATTTTGGATTTAATAACTACTGTTCAAAAACACGTGTATACACGAATGCGTGTGTGTGTGTGTGTGTGTGTGTGTGTGTGTGTGTGTGTGCGCGCGCGCACGCTTACTTGTATATCTGGCCTTCAAGTTCCCTGGAAAGTTAAAGACGTTCAACACTGTTGGTTGGATGACAGTCTGAGCGAGCGGATGAAAAAGGGACTAGCGAGGGAGGGGGTGGGGGGGTGAGGGAAACAGGTGACGGCGATTCAGGATGTACTTGCTGTGATGAGCACCGGGTGATGTATGGAAGTGCTGAATCACTATATTGTACACCTGAAACTAATATTACATTGTATGTTAACCAACTGGAATTTAAATAGAACTTTAAAAAAACTTAAAAAAAATAAAATGTAAAACTAATAAATAAGGAAATAAACAAATGAAGGACCAAACAAACTATGGAGACTGGATGGTCCAGCCAAGAATGCTGGATAACAGCCACACACAGCAGGGGTGGGAGGTGGTGCATGTCTGAATTACAAATGAGTATCAAGAGTAAGAAAACAAGTGGGAGAATGGCTAGAGCAGAATGTCAACCAGCGGAAAGGAATGGAAATGCTCAGTTCTTGAGAGACAGAGACTGGTGAGAAAAAGCAGGAAAACAGCCACAGTAGTGATCCATCACATCCGCATAAGGAAAACTGGAAACAGGTATATGTGGTATTAATTAGGAGGCTTTAGATAAAGAATTATTAGTCCTAGTTTCTATACTAAGTCACAGACTCCGTGTGCTTTTCAAGGAACTAGTTATGGGACATTTAAAAGCAAAAGCTGTTTGGGAGATAGAAAGAAACAGAATGTAAGACCTTACAGATGAACTTAAGAGTACAGGTAAGCCATTCTGTAATGTACATTTTACGGTTACTCCCTCTAATTGTCCTCATTCTGGGGGCGCCTGGGTGGCGCAGTCGGTTAAGCGTCCGACTTCAGCCAGGTCACGATCTCGCGGTCCGTGAGTTCGAGCCCCGCGTCGGGCTCTGAGCTGATGGCTCAGAGCCTGGAGCCTGTTTCCGATTCTGTGTCTCCCTCTCTCTCTGCCCCTCCCCCGTTCATGCTCTGTCTCTGTCTGTCCCAAAAATAAATAAACGTTGAAAAAAAAAATTTAGAAATAATTGTCCTCATTCTGCTGGGACCTAATAAGATCTGGTGAGGAAAAAGGCACACATCTCCACCTACACACGCCAAACACTATAGTAATACTATCTCAAATCAGTAAGTTATCATTTTCTTCAACCCCAAATTACTGAACTTAAGATCATTTTTTGAGAGAGCGCAAGAAGGGGAGAGCAGAGGAAGAGGGAGAGACAGAATCTCAAGCAGGCTTCACACCCAGTGTTGAGCCCCACGGTGGTGCTCAGTCTCACGATGGTGAAATCATGACCTGAGCCAAAATCAAGAGTCGGATGCTTAACTGAGTCACCCAGGCAACCCCCAAAATTACGGAACTTAAAATTTGTATTGACAACGTGGCTAGCTCCAAAATGAATTCCCTCAACACTGTGCCTTCCGTGTCTACAATTTGGCACTTGACAAGACTTTCCCGCCAGTAGTGTTTGATGATCTACTATATGCAAAGCAGTGTTAAAGCGTGAGGAGAAAACAAGACACTGAGAAACTACCAGCGGGAAAGCTTCCATTCATATGGGGTCACAAGTAATTCCATTTGACCACAGTGGAGAACGCAGAGAAGGCTAAGGTGGACGGCTTGGTCAGAACCCTATTTCTGTAGACCTTTAACGTCAGACTAAGAATCTGGAAGTTCTGTGATGGACACTGGGGAGCCCCGGAGGGCGCTGAGGAAGGGCAGTGCTTCAGGAAGGCAGAAGCCACAGTGGGGTCAGGCAGGCAGCAGGAGGAGGACAGTGATCCAGACAGCAGGTGACCAGATGCAGGGCTACAGTGGGAGGGAGTTACTGCAGACCCTTACTGCGGTCAGAGAAAACACCCGTGACCCTCACCATTAAATTCTGGGAGGCAGAAATAGAACGCCATAGTCAAAAGAAGGGACACAGGAGAAGCAGCAGTTTGAGAAGGAAGAGGATGTTCATTTTGAGCACACAGAGTTGAAGCCAGGGTTCAGTGAGCCACAGAGCGATGTCACAATAACTGGCAAGGTAGAGCTACAGAACGGGCCAGGTTTCTGAAGGACAGAGTACAGAGAGGGGAGCAGAGGGGAGGGGAGGGGAGGAAGAAGACCGAGAGGGAGCTGGGAAGCAGAGGAAGGAACAAGCCTGGGGACTCAGCCTGAGGGCAAGGCGGCAGTGTGAGCACAGGACAAGAGACACCATAATCAGGGAAGTTCTTTCCAATTAGGGCCTTAAGTTTCTCCTTCTCAACTGTTTCTCTCAGACACATTCTCCCAGGTCTCTTCAGCCTTACAAAAGCCTCCTTTCATTTCTGATATTATTTCAAGGGACCATTTTCTCTCTCTTTACTTTCATTAGCCAAGTCATATTTATTAAATGAATATATTTCATTAAATAGATTTTAATTCCATGTGGTACATACAACCCTATTGCTCCCAGATTTTCAAATTATTAAAAGCTGCTTTCACATCTGGGCCTGCTGCCTGCACAGAAGTAGGTTTTTCCCTGAGTGCCTAGCAGTGGCCCCTCTGCCCCCCTGCCTGGTCTGCTCTGGGTGGGGGCCCTCCATATAGGCAGGACCTTCTCTGCGACCAGAAGGAAGAGGGGGGAAGAGAAAGCTTTGCCTGTCTCAGAATCTCTGCCCGCGTGAAGGCCCTCAGGACAACTGCTTAGTCTCACACTCAGCACTGTTGGGGGTCAGCTACTCTACCGCTTAGCAAACCGGTCAACTTGGAAATGCTGTGTGGGGAAGGCACTGTGGGGCTTTCTTTTTGATTATAACAAGTTTTAAGCACAATGGCCAACATTCAGCAAGCTGTCAGAAGATACAGGAGTCTGGCAGGAAGGGTACACCCAACTAGAAAATACTGACTTACCCACTATTCACAAATCCTCTTTACTCTGCTTTTTCCTACTATAGAGATCGGAAAGGTAAAATACCCAGTTTTTGCTCTGGTTTTTTTTTTTTTTAATTTTTAAATGTATTTTTTAAAGTTTATTTTATTTTTATTTTTTTTTAATGTTTATTATTTTTGAGAGAGAGAGAGAGAGAGACAGACGCAGACAGCAAGAACAGGAGGGGCAGGGAGAGAGGAAGACACAGAATCGGAAGCAGGCTCCAGGCTCTGAGCGACCAGCACAGAGCCTAATGCAAGACTCGAACTCAGAGACTGAGAGATCATGACCTGAGATGAAGTCAGCTGCTTAACTGACTAAGCCACCCAGCAGGTGCCCCTTAAGTTTATTTTTATTTATCTTGAGAGTGAGAGTGAGAGTGAGAGTGAGAGTGAGAGTGAGAGTGAGAGAGAGAGAGAGAGAGAGAGAGAGAGAGAGAGAGAGAAAGCAGGGGAGGGACAGAGACAGAGGGAGAGAGAGAATCCCAAGCAGGCTCCACACTGTCAGCATCACAGCCTAACACAGGGCTCGAACCCACAAACTGTGAGATCATGACCTGAATGACCTGAGCTGAGATCAAGAGTCTGCTTAACTGACTGAGCCATCCAGGGGCACCTTCCTCTTCTTTTAAAATTCGGGTTCCATAGATCCGGTCGGTAGGATGCCAGCCTAAGGGGACCTCTCCTTCCTGAGTCACATGGCCTCATCCTTTGGGGTCCCCATCCTGTCACCTTTCTCTCCTTCCCACTTAGACTGCAGACATAATACACATGACCCTGTCACCAGGTAGTTCAAGCAAGTGGAAGGAAACCAGGGAGGTCAGTGTCAAAAGAAGGGAAGAATTCAGGTCCTCAATGGACTCTGGCTGCAGCTCTAATGGCCCTGGAATGTGGAGACCCCAAATGTCTCGACAGAAGACCAATAAACCCCACACGTTTAAGCTACAATTAGGATTTTGATTATTTATAGCCTAATTTACTTCTAATTCATATAGTTTGATTGCTGCTTTATTATAAAGTACATACTGGATGAATAAACGGATACATGCAGTATGTATCTGGTGCCTTCTGGACACACTTAGGGACTAAAACCTTAGGGAAAGGAATGTCTCTCATTTCATACCAGAAGAGAAATCATTTTTACCTTGTGTACTCATAAAGTGCTGGAACAATGCTTTGGTACTGTCTTCTGATGGCCAATAATGCACCAATATAACCACATAAGATGAGCAATTCATTTCGAGCTCTAAAAGAGAATATAGTTTTTAAAATTCTTTTAACTTGAGGTATAGAACATTACTCACATATATAGTTACCGTGCTTATATCTCTGTATTTTGATGGGTGACATTTATAGCAAAATATGTTTAGAAAATTTTCTCAACTTGAAGATGTTTTATTCATGAGTTGAGTCCCTTTCAGACATTTATGCTACAGCACAAGTAATGTTTTAACTTTTGGCTCCTTGTTTTCCTCTATCCCTTGGCCGTTTCTTCATGCAAATTTCTAAGGAACTCATTAGGCCTGATTTAGGAATTCCTGGCACATTACAGACTCTAAGCAAGGACAGGGCACACCCTCTCGATTTCCCGCTGGGGAAACGTCTAAGTTTCCCAGGCTGTGGCAACGTCTTTCCCGCACTGCCATTAAAACAGTAATAGCCCAAAGCCTCCATTGCAAACTATACACCATCTCCGGGGACTTTCGTTCTGTGGACGAGTGTCCTTCCATGATACCTGAATGCAGGGCTGGTAACTAGATGTCACTCCCTAGCACCTTCACTTTTCCCCCAGTAGTATGCTCTGTGCACAGTGGCTGTTTAACAGACATGACCACCAGCTTCTTGAGGACTTCGGGTCTAAGACCACCCCAACGCTCTGAATCAGCCCTATTTGAACCAGGTGTGTGTTGTGTGTGTGTGTATCCATGTGTGTCTGTGTGTCTTGTCTTTGTGTCCATGTGTGTCTCTATGTGTGTGTGTCCATGTGCATGTGTGTTCATGAGTCCATGTGTGTCTGTGTGTGTGTACGTGTATGTGTCCATGTGTGTGTGTCTATGTGTCTGTGTACACATAAATAAATATACACACTCTAGGTATTAGTAAATAGGACCATGAGAATTTATTTTTTCCGTTTCCAATTGACCTCTGTATTTTTTCTTAAGAATAGCAAATATAGATGTAATTTTTCTCCAAGGGCACTTCCCTATCCAAGATGATCTTATTTCTTGATATGAACACCAAAAACAATATAACCATTTTCAAGCATTACATAGATTCCCTTATGTATTTTGGAGTAAAAGCACTTACTTAGTACACGTATGCAAGACTAATTTTTCAGTACGGATATAACTCAATAGGTCAAGAACGGGGTAAACGGTATCCAATGTCCATTCTGAGCTACTGATGCATTCTGGCAAAACAAAACCAAATAAGAGATGATCTAAATAATCATACTAATCATGTTCATCCAATTTTTAACTTACATAATTAATTCTCTCCTGGCCATCTCATCTGGACAAGTATTGTACATCCACCCTCTCTCAAGTCCCCATAGCACACAATCAGCAATCTCTTCCTTTTTTAAATTTAGGATGGCTGGTGTCTGACTTTAAGGCTGCTTGTCAATACTAATGAAAGGCTAAAATCAGTGAGTAGACTTGAGTTGATACCACCAACGGAAAACTTACCTTTGATGAAGTCAATACCAATAGGAAGGGCTTTTTCAGGCTCTTGACTTAACAAGAAATACTTCACAGTTTCAAATATATTACCATCCGCAAGGGCAGCCTCTGCTAACTGCATACATTCTTCTACTGTGGGTAGCTTGCACTGAAAAGTAATCGGTTTAATGACGTTACTAAAACTTAGAGGGATACACGCAGCAGGATAAGTACTAAATATCTCCAATATGCCTACTATGCTCTTCCTAGTAAAGTTGCTCAAAACAGATGTCAGTGAGATAATTTTTATTAAAAGCACACATTTATGAAAATATCTTTAGGATCTAATAACAGTAAATAAGATGTTAATTACCTAAGTGCATCAGTAGTTTTTCATCACACAAATACTTAATGAAAAAGGTAGAAGTAAATTATCCTGTGATATTGGAATTAGTATCCACACATGTAACTTAGAAAAACACATGCTGAGATTTATCACTTCAGAATATACTGACCACTGTCAGAAACTACATTAAATACAGAAAACATAAAAAATACACTCTGACATCTCACACACACTGTGGAGTTTAATTTTGCTTGGCCTTTGAGACAGAGCAACTTAATTTCAAGTAGAAAGGCAAAACACGTTACAAGCTCTCAAAGTTTTTAGCTCTGACATTCTGAAATGCCACAAAATGCAGATTTTGAGCCCAGGAAACTTCATTACTGGAAAATGAAAAGCACTACTCCCCAGTTTTTCAAATGATTTTTTTTTCCTGTTGAAACTCAGTCTGCTCCTCCCTTAGGTACGTTCTCCTGCTTCCAGGGTGCAGGCGGGGGTTTCCTGCATTGTCCCCCTTCCAGCACCTATAAATAGTTAATGTTTCTTCTCACTGGGATTGGCAACCACTGATGTGGTGCTTCCACAAAGGTATTTTGTGTTACGAGTCCAGAGGGCGCGGTTCGCGCACAGCAAGGTTGCCCATCTCCTCACCTCTGAGGTTTATCACTTTCTTCCCTCTCACTTTTATGTCCCCTTAAGTTACTAGGTTGGTTTATTCAATAGTTTCTGTTTAAAGGGGGTTTGGAGATGGGGGACAGATGATTGGGATTAAGGAGTGCACCTGCTGTAATGAGTACCGAAGGGCTGAGTCACTATATTGCACACCTGAAACTGATATTACATTGTATGCTAACTACCTGGAATTTAAATTAAACTTAAAAATCAAATAAAAATTATATAAATTGAATATTTTGGATTCCACAATCTCTCTTAAAAAATTACAATGAACTAAATTAAAGGAGCTCTCGTATACATAAAATTTCATATTGTTTCCCCAACTTCATTAACTAAATGCCAGTTATTTACTGAGCAACTATGTGCACTAGGTATTACAACTGGCTAAAGTTCTTCACTTTGACATATGCTCTAAGAGTAAAGGGAATAAAAAAAAATGGTTTCTATTGAAATTTTATCCTCAAATAAAATATAATAAGAGTAAGATGACCATTGCTGTAATTCCCATCCTATCTTAAAATTCTAAGTTATCTAAATTAAGATAATATTTAAAAATATAATTTGTAGCATTACTTGTGAAACTGTCCACAGGTAGTAGTAACACCTTTACACCTAACTGACTAGTCTTTGTAAACAGTTATCAGTGAAGTCTGAGCAGAAAGTCTAATTATATCCTTTCAGATTGTGTGACAAAAAGGCGATGCGAATGCCATCCTGCCTGTGTCATTACGAGCGTGTAAACACAGACAAGTATTTCTCCTCTCTAAGCCCCAACATTAGTGCTTGCTGCTATCACCTCATACAGGGCATAGGGTGTATATTTAAAGCACCATGCAGCAAATGTAAGGTTCATACTTCCTTCCCTCTGCATTTTCATTTCAACACAGGAACAGCTTTTACTTGTCATGTTTGTAAAAGTGAAGCACAACTCACTTAGAAAATATTTCACAGAACACAAAGTGTGTAAAGAAGTCAGGCCACCCATAATCTCACAACCCACTGGTCACTGTTCATGATTACCATCTCATAAGTATCGTCCCTCATCTCACACACACAGTTACTCACACACATACACACTTGCTCAAACACTCACATATACACTCACTCATGCACACACATGCTCACTCTATCTGTGTTATCATAATACTTAGTAAGTATCCACTGTTGGATGAAAAGGGCCACAAAACACTGCATGGGGCGCCTGAGTGGCTCAGTCAGTTAAGCGTCTGACTTCGGCTCAGGTCATGATCTCACAGTTCGTGAGTTCGAGCCCCGAGTCGGGCTCTGTGCTGACAGCTCAGAGCCTGGAACCTGTTTCAGATTCTGTATCTCTCTCTGTCTGCCCCTCCACTGCTTGCACTCTCTCGCACTGTCTCAAAAATAAACATTAAAAAGTAATTTTTAAACACTGCAGACAAATCAAGGGTCATGAAGTGGGGTCATTTAAGTGAAACAAAACACTGCTATTTTCATATTAAAGACAAAAAAATGTTTTACTGTAAGTTATATTTTTCTTAAAAGACCTGTATATATCTCCTTAAATATATAATAATTAACATAAATATGTGCAGTTATTTTCAAAATGAAAATCATATGGCATGTATTTCATATTCTGCTTTTTTACAGAACTGTTTTATAGCCTTGTACCAATGTCAATAAAAAGAGAACTTCATGATCTTTTTAATGGGTGAAAAGCATTGAAATACATAAATGTACTGCAATTTATATACACAATCTCCCTATTGTTGAACATTTTGGTTATTTTTATACATAATCTTGGTTCATAAACTCCTATATTCTACAAAGGAGTATTTTTTAAAAGCACTTTAAAGCAATGCATGTGAATTTCATCATAATTAACTCTCTTAAAGATCCTAAACTGCCTATTTGTAAAAGTTGGCAAAAATGCACCTTAAGGTGCAGAGGGGCAGAGTGGGATGGATGTGGAGTCAGACGTGGTAAAGCTCAAGTCTACACTCTGCCTTTAACTAACTAACTAGAGGCAGTTGCTTAAGCTCCCCGAGCTCACTTTTGCTGTAAAATAGGAACAATGAGCCTTGCTTTTTGGGGTTTCCATGTGAATTCAGTAAAATACAAACATATGTGAAAATTCAGAACTGTCTCAAGCACACAGAAGCTCAACCAATGTCACTTACTGTTATCACTTCTGTTATATCTATAAAAGGGTTCGCGAGGGATCATATGTTTCTCTGCCTGAATCTTTATTTGCCCTAACCTAAAATTAGTTAAATCCTAGCACTGCATTCCAAATTAGAATATGTAATACCCTTAGAATACCTTCTCATGAAGATCATTTATCTCTTCAGTACACCCTGGGTAGAAAGCACAGAGTTTAACTAACTGTAGTTCATTGTCAGGAGTCATCAGGAGAAGATCAGCTGCCAAATTCCTATGCACATAACAAAGGGGGAAACTGATTCAACAAGGAAAAAATCTAAAAATAACATTTAGAACTATTTCAAAGGAAGAAAACTCTGATACTGCCTTTGGTTTTCTACTAACATAAAAAATACTAATCTTCTACTTAATTATGAAAGACCTCCAAACGTGGATGACAGATAAACCAAACGGCATGAAGGAAAAATATATTAGGAAATTTCTATAATTTTGTAAAAATCTTAAATCTGTATATATTTGCAATTAATTTTGCTATTACAGAATTATTCTCTAAGCAAACTAAGCAGTATTAGATATGTCCTGTGGAGTGAATTATGAAGCAAGCTTTGTGAAGGCTACTTTTCATCAGCTTTTGTTATGGCCGCAACCACAGCTGGATTAAGCCACTCTTTAAAACCAGGAGAATACTGACTGGGGCGCCCGGTGGCTCAGTTGGATGCATCCGACTTTGGCTCAGGTCATAAATCTCATGGTTTGTGATGTTGAGCCCCATGTCAGGCTCAGAGCCTGGAGCCTGCTTCAGATTCTGTGTCTCCCTCTCTCTCTGCTCCTCCCCCACTCGTGCTCTGTCTCTGTCTCTCAAAAATGAATAAACAAACAATAAAAAAGAATAATACTTAGATATTTTAAGTTTCGAATTTCAGGTGTTTTGCATCTCTCTTAAACGTTACGTGGAAATCAAAGATAGAAATGCAGTTTCCTGATTTACTTTTTTAAAGATTCAATGAAAGGAATAATGCACTTAAAAATAAGGTATTTTAGGGACGCTTGGGTGGCTCAGTTGGGTGAGCGACTGACTCTTGATTTCGGCTCAAGTCATGATTCCAGGGTCATGGGATAGAGCTGCATGTCAAGCCCCAAGGTGGGGTGCCATGGTTGGCATGGAGCCTGCTTAAGATTCTCTCTCTCTCCCTCTGCCCCTCCCGAGCTCATGCCCACTCTCGCTCATGGTCTCTCTCTAAAATAAAAATAATTTTAAAAATAAAAAATAAAAAAGAAGGTATATTAAAGCGTCATGTGTCATATTTAACGGCTTTATGTTAAAAATGTTCTCTATGATATCCTCTTTAAAAATCATTAGGTGGGGGCGCCGGGGTGGCGCAGTCGGTTAAGCGTCCGACTTCAGCCAGGTCACGATCTCGCGGTCCGTGAGTTCGAGCCCCGCGTCGGGCTCTGGGCTGATGGCTCAGAGCCTGGAGCCTGTTTCCGATTCTGTGTCTCCCTCTCTCTCTGCCCCTCCCCCGTTCATACTCTGTCTCTCTCTGTCCCAAAAATAAATAAATGTTGAAAAAAAATTTAAAAAAAAAAATTAAAATCATTAGGTGAAGAGTTTTTCGTTGCATACTGTTGCACAACTGAGAAAACACTAATTTTTAATGATTCAAGATGTTATTATCCACTTTTCAAGAAACTGATATAAAACACATTCAGCATAACTTGAGAATAGGCAACATTTCAAATGTGAGTTTCTGAAAGGGTGGACTTCAGAGAGTAAAATCTTCCTTCACCTTCTTTGTGAAGCCTTCAGTAAAATGTACATTGATCATTTATGTGAATACATTATTTTTGAAACATTAAGAGGTGTGTAATCAAGAATACAATGAGCATGGAACAGGAAGAGAGACAATCTATGTGTATCCAATACTCTATCATCATTGAACAGGTAAGTCTTTGAGTGTTTTTCCAAGTCTCAAATTAGAGTAATTCATCTGCTCTTTCTAAGAAGTTTCAATGCTTATGTTTCCTGATACTGACATTTAATAGCAGTATTTGATAATATCCATGAGAATACAGAAATTACCATTTGTTTTTACAGTACATACACTAGATGTGTAAATTCTTTTTTTTTTTTTAACGTTTATTTATTTTTGAGACAGAGAGAGACAGAGCATGAACGGGGGAGGGTCAGAGAGAGGGAGACACAGAATCTGAAACAGGCTCCAGGCTCTGTTTCTCTGAGCTGTCAGCACAGAGCCTGACGCGGGGCTCGAACTCACGGACCGCGAGATCATGACCTGAGCCGAAGTCGGCCGCTTAACCGACTGAGCCACCCAGGCGCCCCTAGATGTGTAAATTCTATTCAAACTTCTATGAACTACAGACAAAAGTCTGACCTTCTTGCTGTAGAATTATATCCTGATACACTGAAGTTTGCAGCAATGCTAATTTTCTTCTCCTTTTAGTGTAACTTACATTTACTGAAACTTCCATTTACCAATTGGGGAAAATGTATATACATGTAACGATACAGACCTACTAAATAATCTAAACTCTCACATTTCATTGTCAGAACAAGCATTTTCACTTGTTTAGCTGACTTATTGACTACTATTTTGTATTGTAGAAAGTCACAATTCATTTATGACACAGATTTTAATATAAAACTGTGAGAGATTTTGTACCTACACTACAAGAAGTGTTGTCACTTTGTAGTTAGGTTTTATATGTTATAAATTCTATAAATGAATTGTTATTCTGCAAAACAATGAAGCAAGAACAGGTAATGATCATTTACTATAGAGTTAATATTCTAAAACTGAAATAAAATATGAATATTTTTATTAAATGTTCTTATAAAACTAGACAGTACCTGTATCCAACAGATGGAAAGCTAGAAAGAAAATTATTTTAAATATGAATACCATGTATATGCAGTGAGAACCAAGAAAAAGGAGACTTTTACCAGCAAATGTAAAACAGGGAAGGGCACCTGTCTTACAAAATTGTGAACATTCCTTCCAAATTATCAACTATGTTTTTATTTAAACTTTTGGAGGCTTATTCATAGGGCTTACGGATTTCCCCTGGAAATAAACCTGATGAGCATTACATATTTCAAAATTTGAACTTTATCCAAGTTTCTGGTGCATGTATCTATGGATATATAAAGGAAACTTCTTAGGGGCATTACGAGGAAATAGAAGTTTGTCTTATATTAAAAGCAACTGAGACATGTAGTCAGTTGAAAGATTTTTTAAACCTCACCTAAATTTAATTTCTATTTGTTTTACTACTTTTTACCTTTACCAAAAAAAACCCCAAAAAACAAAAAACAACTTAATCACATTTTATTTAGATTACACGATGACCTCTAGCAGGGAGTCCGTCACCTTTGTGAATAAATAATCTACGTTAAACTCATGCTTTGGGATAAGGTCTAAGGCAAGTCACAGTATGCAACTGACCGTTACTGTTCCTGACGGACATAGACCTGGCTACTAAGGATGGGGGGCATTACACACACATAAGTCATAAGTCTAAGGTCAATGGTGGGGTGCTGCCACATTTGGGTTGGGTGAAGGACCTCTGTGGCTGTAAGATACGGGAATAAATGACCAAAACTCTGAGATTCCCGATTCCCTAGGAAGCCCCCAGATCCAGAAAGAAAGGGAAAACGGGAAGTGTTGCTGTCTTTCTGAGCTAGCCACAGACGAAGGGGGCCACATGGCTTGATAGCTGAAAAGACCGGAGACCAGTGTTGCTCCCCACGTTCACATATTGAAACTTAATCCCCAGTGCAATGGTATTTGGAAGTGGGGCCGCTGGGAGGTGATTAGGCCCTGAAGGCTGAGCCCTGAACGGTATTGGCGCCTTGTAAAAGAGGCCACAGAGAGCTAGCTCGACCCTTCCGCACACGAACAAAGGGAGAGGATGGCTGATGAGGACCCAGGAAGCCGGCTCTCATCAGACACCAAATCTGCCAGCGCCTTGATCTTAGACTTCTCAGCCTCCAGAACTGTGAGAAATACATTTCTGTCATTTGTAAGCCACCCAGTCTGTGACACTTTGTCACAGCAGCCTGAACCGACAAAGACAGTAGCTAAGTATAAACTTCGGAGCCAGTTTATAGAATGTTGAATCTTGGCTCCACCACTTATTGAGGCCAGAGGCAAAGCAGTATCTATCGTGAGTGAATCATTACATGTAAAGTGCTTACCACAGAGCTTGGCACACAGTACAGAAGGGTTAGTTAGCTGTCATTATTCTTAATGTTATTACTGTCTGTGGAATTCGACAGTAGAGTCTGTACAGCTCCATTTTACGAGTGGTGTGTGTGTGTGTGTGTGTGTGTGTGTGCACGCACACACGTGAACTGGGCGTGCAGTGGGAAGAGGTGAAAGACCCGATTAACAAGTTTATTTAGAAACTCCTTAAGGTTTTAAGTGCTTTACGGAAGGAGAAGATGAATGTCTGAAATCATCTTTATTCAACAAACATCTCTTGAGTGTCAGCCTCGTATCTTTGCTAAAGATGCTCCGTAATGAAGGACTATCTGCCCGAAGATCAGGGCTCTGCAGACGGGGGTGAGAACTGCTTGGACCTGGACTTCCAGGTCACCCCAGGGACTTTCCAGGGTCTATTTCTTAGAGGACTGCCCACGTCTGGGGAAATGGCCTGTTCCAAGTCTCCAGCTAAACTATGTTATTATGCTCCATTAGAAAAGTGACCTTATTTTGCAAACCTTAAACTAAGACACAAGGTCTGACAAGAATCAGTGTAGATATGCAGAATCTGAAATGTGGAAATATGTGGTCCTGATTATCTTAAGCAGTGCACATTTATTCACGATGTTCTATGCACTCGAAATAATACCGAGTTACGAGGGGACTGCTTCAGAATGGGCCACGGTAGATTTCACTCCAAACCAGGGCAATTCCCATGATTACTTCATCATCATAGCCCTGTTTCCTCCCACAATCTTTCTCTTTCAATCAAAAAGGAGATGCTAGGCGCTTGGGTAGCTCAGTCAGTTGAGTCTGACTCTTGGTTTCGGCTCAGGTCATGATCTCATGGTTCATGAGTCTGAGCCCCACTTTGGGCTCTGTGTTGACAGCTTGTAACCTGCTTGGGATTCTCTCTCCTTCTCTCTCTCTCTGCCCTTCCCTGATCACATGCCCTCTCTCTCTCAAAAATAAATAAATATTAAGAAATTAAGTTAAAAAATTTGAAAAGGAGATGCTGTATTCTCTCAAAACACATGAAATGCAAGTTAAAATATTTTAAAAATGTATTCCATTCCTATAAAATTATTCTTCGAATTTAGAAATTCTTACCATGGTGGAATCATCATGCATTTTCTCGCCAGCAATTCCAGGGCATAGTGGGTTGTGGGTGCAGCAGGCTCTCCGAGCACTGTGCCCACACTGACGGCCAACTCCAGTTCATTTCCACGAATCAGGTATGCCATAGCAAGCTTACCCAATAAGAAAATAATTCCTTCAGTTTCATAGATGCTGGATTGGATCATCTTTCCCCGCCAAGCTCATAAAGTAGATAAAGCAGTATTAACCTATAATCAATTATTCTTAAAAATACTGAATGTAATATTCCTATAAAGTACTTATGTAAGTATAAATGCAATTTCCAGATGGAAAAGCTTATCTGATAAAGGGACACACAAGGAATTTTTATAAGGTCAGAATTTAAGTTTAGAACCCTTGATAATAGTTTTTTAATGAATTAATAACAGTTTGTCTGCTATATCCTCATGTCCTTCCATGTCTCTATCACAAAACAATGCCAATTCTTAGAAGATTCATCAACAGTGTGCAATGATTATCAACGATTCCGTAAATCTACTGTATCTAAGGATACATGCAAAACAGAATCCATCTTTACTATACATTTTTCTTACTAGATTAGAGGGTCAAATAGGAAATACCTTAAAAACATCACTTTTGAAGATTATACTAACGTATACTTAAAAATAAGCGCTTCCAGAAGTCAAGTATTCTGAATCCCTGAGATTTTTCCCTTCACCACACTATTTCTTCTCCTATCAGATGAAATACTTAAAGTCAGGTTGTTACAAATATGTACCTTGTGATAAAAATGAATTGGAAATAAGATTTCATAGTCTGTAGAGTTTATGTGTGCTTCTGAGACACGGTAGCTCAGGCTTGGTAAGCACGCAAAATCAGATCTTGCACAGGAGTTGCCATATTTTTTCCACTCAAACACCATGACGCACCTTAAGAGCTTTCCATTTACATAAACCAATGTGAAATGTACCTCAGTATTATCTACGGCTAGCTGGCAACATGCGGCTAACACTGCGCGACCATCCTGAAAATACCATTCCGCTAGTTCTTCACTGACTTTGTGCAGGAGTCTAGAAAAGAGAAAGAGTATGTAGTCTATATAAACAGAAGGATTCCGTCATAAAATGAACTAACGCCCTTTTAGAACAAGCTTATTAAGGGATCACATAGGATTTAATTTGGTATCTTTGATTCAGGTATAAAGTCTGATCTTTGGGAAAGAAAAATCAGGAAAGCTATTTTTCTTAGCAAACAAATTAGTATGGATGGCATGCCCCCACCCCAAATGTCAGAATAAAAGTCTCATTTTCAAAATTTGCCATCCTACATTGAATAATTCACAACCCAGCTACAGGGACAGTTAACTGCAGAAGAATTACAGGCTGAACTGAAACTTTTCAAAATTTAGATGGTGACCACAATATGGGTAGGGTATGTTAGATCTTTAAAATGTCGAGTTTAGATATGGCAGAGAATAGCAGCAAAGAATCAGGAAGGAGTACACTGGTCCTAACACCTTATTTGCTTAACATTTTATGACCTTTTTTTTACTTGAAAAGCATCATAAAAGTTTAGATATCCAATTTTTTAAAGCAATAATAGGAGCCAATAATGAGGCATGGGAAAGTAGATTATTAGATTTTAAAAAGGGCAAAAGGCTGAAGAATTCTAACTTCCATTTCTTCTAAAAAATGTGTATTTGGATTTCTTCTTTAAAAGGAGTCTAAATTTTATTCCCAACACTAATTCTGGTGTCTTGGGATGATGTCATCTATAATGACTTTACAGTGAAACATTAATAAACAGCCCTCCTTATTTTTACTGCCTCTCCTCCCTAAACAAGGTTGATGTTTTGAACTATTTCGGTGCTTTATCTGCAATCTCTCTACTGAAATACATGCTGCCTCTCTGAAAGCCACACAAAAGGCTTGCAGGCTGCACGTGCATGCCTGACACTATCCTGTTCACCCAGAGACCCTGGGATGGAGCAGGACTGAGGCGAGAATCAAAGTGAGACAGCCCAGCCCCTGTGCATGGAGAAGGGTGAAGCGCATGGGTCTTAAAACCCCCTAAGGGGAAGCCAACCCTGAAAATACTGATCCCACACAAAGGATAAAGCGCTCACTCATGACAGTCTTCCTTGTAGATATCATCAGGATATGAAGATCCTTTAGGTGTGGAAACATGTACGGTCTGCATGTTTCCCTCACAAGCAGCCTGGAATTTAATAAAATCTTTAATTATTTTTAGCTAATTGTTGACAGCTGCCCAATTTCTAAATATTATTTTGATCAAAGTGCAGTTGACCCTCTAACAATATGGGTTTGAACTGCACAGGTTCACTTATATGCAGATCTTTTCCAATAAATACAGGACTGTAAATGTATTTCCTCTTCCTCATGATTTCCTTAATAACACTTTCTTTTCGCTAGCTCACTTTAAGGTCAGAACACGATATATAACATATGGAACGTGCAAAATACGTGTTAATCGACTGGTCATGTTATTGGTAAAGTTTCTGGTCAACAGTAGACTATTAGTACTTAAGTTTTGGGGGAGTCAAAAGTTATAGGAGGATCTCTGGGTGGGGGTTCAGTGTCCCTAACCCTGTGCTGTTCAAGGATCAACTGCTTATTTAAATCATGTTTAAAATTTATACAATCTGGAGGTACCCTCAGAATTCGAAAAAGAATGTGGACTCCATTTGTATCAACACAAAGCTTCAAGTGAATGGTTACTAGAAATAGTTGTTCACCCACATATGACATTCAGCAGCATACAAAAGTCCAGGGATGCCTGAATGTCTAAAATATGTGCAGTGTGACCAGGGCATAGAAAGTGTGACCGTACTGCAGACAGAGAAGGTTGGGAGGTGGGCAGGAGCCAGGCCATCTGACTGTCGATCACGGGAAGGCAGGTGTGATCAGTCAGCACAGTCTTCCTTCCACAGGCCCTCCCACCAGGGTAGGTGGCCTGTGTGATCATGTACTGGTACCTGTGCAACAAGCAGAGCTTCTGTAAGCTGACCTCTTGACATAAAAAAATTCACTAATTTTTTCACATCTCCAATGGCGATGCAGTATGGAATGACATCATCCTTATCTTCCTGGATTAACTGATCAGCTCTCCTAATAAAACAAGAACAGCTTTCTTTATAATATACCAATTTCAAGGTTTTCAGTTGGACTCAGATTTTCTGAAATATCTAAAGCAGCCAAATATCCAAAATATGTGGTAGATTTCCTAAAACCCTTCTGCATATCACTTTTCTAAAAGCTTCAGATTTTATAATCAAATCAGATATGGAAGACAAAAGTTTTCTGCAATAAATAAAATAGATAACCTATTTTCTCTTAAAACACTACATATTTTCATATTTTAAAAGCACTGAACATATTAGGTCTTAAAAATGAATACAGCTTATCTATTAAAGTGAGCAATATATTTTCTGAAAATAAGTTGTAAACTAGATGTGTGATGGGATATCTACTTTCAATTGGATTAATAAATACGTGCGCGTCTACTGCATTAAAGACAGAATTTTAAACGTTTTAGGGAGCACAACAATGAATGCAAACCCTTTAAATGCAAGTAACTTAAAATCATTAAAAAAGAGAAGAGTATAAATACTGACAATAAAATATAGAATACTATGAGCACCCCAAGCAAGGCAGTTTAAAAAAACAAAAAGTTCCTGATATGTGAGGGGAAAACAGGATCCTGATCTTGGAGATTACCAAGAATCTACTTGCGTCTGCCTCTGTCTCTCTGTATCCTGTCTGTGTTTCTCTTCTCCTAAAGAAGTCCCAAGTAGTTTCCCAGTGACCAACCAAATTAATTTAACTCTTATTATTTAGCCTCAGGTTTGTTGAAAACTAATCTGTGGGCACCTGGATGGCACAGTTGGTTAAGCGTCTGACCTGATTTTGGCTCAGGTCATGATCTTACAGTTTCGTGAGTTCCAGCCCTGCATCGGGCGCTAGGCTGACAGTGCAGAGCCTGCCTGGGATTCTCTCTCTCTCTCTCTCTCTCTCTGCCTCTCCCTGACTCATGCTCTCTGTCTCAAAATAAATGAATTTAAAAAAAAAAAGAACACTAATCTGGCATATTTAATATATGCTGGCATTTGCATTAAACTACATTTCAATCGCCAATCTCTGGGTTGGTGCAGCACAGTTTTTGTTTGCCCAGCTCACTGTTAACAATCTCCAATCTACAGGGTCACTGGAATTCTCCCCAACACCTGTGTTTTCAACCATTGTGACACTGATTTCTTTGTTATAGGAGTAATAATATCCCCTTCTAAGGAACTAGGACCGAGAAATGGCCAATCTCTCTGAATGGCTGCATCTATACAACATAAATTTAGGAGCCGTGAGGAGACCATTTTCTGGCCACCATGTGAATTAAGGAGTAGAGAAAAGCAGGTGTTGGTTTCCAAAGATATCTGAAACAGTTTTTGCTGAGGTTGAAACACAATTGTTTTGTGAAAGAAACATTGTCTGCTAACACAGCTTTATTAAAGATTTCGGGGGTTGGGGGGGAAGATAACATTCACAAGTGTGCAGTGAGGGTACAGGAACTTGGAATTATTTGGGATTTTTAGAATTTAAGACAGGGAGCCCACAGCCAGCCCGCTGATGCACTTATTGCTGGGAAAACAGGTGCCAGGGAACGGTCTACTCTCCAACAGCAAATGTGTTCATTAGTCCTTCTGCATTTCATGCGTAGCCTCAGGCAGATTTTTATTTATACATGTGAGTTGCAGTTGAATTTGCTTCTAAATTATGTCTCGTGGAAGAAAAATCAAACTTTTTCATTTTTAAGGCCAGAATCAAGGGAATTAGTCATGAAATAGTAGTCTACAGGCCTAGCACAGTGCTAGACACATAGCGAGCACTAAAAAAATAAATATTCCCTGAATGACTAGAATAGAGAACAGTCTCATGCTGTGAGTTGAAATGTGTCTGCCCAAAACACGTTTACTGAAGGACCAACCACGGTCTCTACAAATGTAACCTTATTTGGAAAGAGGGTCTTTGCTAATGTAATCAGTAAAGAGGGAGTTAAACTGGTTGAGGGTAGACCTTCAATCTGCTATGACTGGTGTCCTCCAAGAAAGAAGGGAATGTGCACACAGACACACAGGGAGTAAGGCACCGTGAGAAGAAAGCAGGGGTTTGAGTGGTGCACCCAAGACTCAGTGAAGGCTGACGACTGCCAGTAACCACCAGAAGCTGGAGAAAACACGTGGAACAGATTCTTTCTCAAAGACCTCAGTAGGAACCAGTCCTCCCGACAAGTGGATATTGGCCTTCTAGCCTCCGGGCTGTGAGAATAAATTTCTGTGGGTCTAAAGCCAACCAGTTTATAACACTTTGTTACACTTTGTTACAGGGGCCATAGGAAACCAACACATCTCAGAAAGAGGCTTCACCAGTGCCTCCCTCGTATTCACGGATGGGAGACGGCAGGGATTGGTGGCCAAAGAGAACTGAGATTATTTACAGAAGAAGTACTCGGTGAACTTTAGGAAACCTTCAGAAAATCTTACCACCTATATTTCAGTAGCAATATATTATCCAATAAGTATGTTTACTCATCTGTCAACCCCTCCATTGACATGGAGAATCTCCCTTCCACTGTCTTTCTCAGATGCTAGGTCAAACAGAAGAACACCAAGTGACTTGTAACCAATTCATTTAATTTACGGCATCAGCAGACATAAAACTCAGCTGTTTTTAAAGACAACCTAAGACTAGAAAATTTCAAAAGCTACTATTTATAGATTGCTTCCATTTTAACATATTTTAAAACATCTATTTGGACACAGACTCTGTGCTTACCTCTGCATTAACTTCTTCCAGTATTTCACAGACACCCCCGGTGCGACTGACAAGGCCTTGTCCCACTAGAACAGAAAACAAGAAAGGCAAAGTGTATTTTGACTGTACTAACTCTTAACTTTTTTTTTTTTTTTTTTAACGAACTCACATTTTTAATAGGAGTTTTTCGTGTGTTTTTAGGGTGTTTAGATTTCCAGGAATATTTCTGAATTCTATCCCATTCCACAGAGTATAAATATTACATTTTAAAATAAAGTAAAATACGTAAATTGTATTATTCAGCAACGAAAATCCCAAGCCTAGACAGGGGGCAGTGGGAGGGGAGAGGAATAGTACTACCTAAGTGTGTAGTTTAAAAAACATAGTACCTCCCCTTCTGACACAACACCAGAGTAATCTGTTCTACGGTAATCTATGTCCTATGTTCAAAATAATACACACTGAAATTCTTCTGTTTAAAAATATGATATTTATTTCTGTTTTTATTCTTTGTTTTTTTATAAATTTTATTTATTGTCATATCTTTCTTTATAGTTGATAAACTGATCTTCGTATTTTATTTTAATTTTTTTTAACGTTTATTCATTTTTGAGAGACGGAGACAGAGCACGAGTGGGTAAGAGGCAGAGAGAGAGGGAGACACAGACTCTGAAGCAGGCTCCAGGCTCTGAGCTGGCAGCACAGAGCCCTTCACGGGGCTCTAGGTCACGAAGCTTGAGATTGTGACCTGAGCTGAAGTTGGACACTTAACCAACTGAGCCACCCAGGCATCCCTGATCTTCATATTTTAAAAATTAGACTGTTATTAAAGATCATAGTTCAATCAAGGCAAGTGAGACAATTATATGGAAAACATAGACTTCACTGAACTCATGTCTAGAAGGGAAGTGAGGGTGAAGAATTCTGAATATCACAACATGGATCTAAACTTCATTTTAATTAAGGCTCTCCCAAACAGTAGAATTCTACTACAATTATGGCTAGAAGATTGGTAATTAGCCTGAAAATAATAGGTTAAATTTTAAATAGGTAAATGTTTTTTGTTTTTATTTAAATTCCAGTTAGTTAACATAGAGTATAAAATTAGTTTTGGGTGTACAAAATAGCAACTTTTTAATACTACATTATTTGTAGTCATGTTTCCTTTTTATTTAAGTTTATTTTTATTTGAGAGAGAGAGAGAGAGAGCAAGCGGGGATGGACAGAGAGAGGAAGAGAGAGACAAAATACCAACCAGGCTCCACACTATCAGTGCAGAGCCAGAATGGGGGCTCAAAACTCATGAACCATGAGATCACGACCTGAGCTAAGTCAAGAGTCAGACGCTTAACTGACTGAGTCACCCAGGAACCCCTGTCGTCATGTTACCTTTTTAGAAAAATGTAACCTAAATTATGCTTTTAGGGAAAATTTGTCTTTATTATAGTAGAGGCAAATGCAAGAAACAAGTTAAAATGTAGATTAAATGAACTTTGAAATCATCAAGCCTTTTCTATAAAAACATGTCCTGTAAGTGGAGAGATTAACTGTTTTCCTAATCTCACAGAATTAATCTCAAAGAATCAGAAACTACAGAGGGAGGATATCGTGAAGTGCTCCAAAGACGTCTGTATTTCTTAAGCATTGGAAGGACAGTGTTTTGGATCGTTAAGAACCCTGATGACCTTACACAACAAAATTCTCAAGCTCCACAAGTGGACACTGTGACAGTATCTTTAAATGTGAATTAAATATAGCTATAAAAAATATATACCCAAATATAAAACTCAGGAAGATGAAGAATTTGTATTCTACCAAAATTTATTTATTCTTTTTCTTCTTGAATTTGATCAACACTCTAACAGTGTCTTGCTAGAAAGGTAACCTTTAAGCCAAACCTCTATTTCTTTAGAAGTAAAATTTTTATACTGCTCCCGAACACTTTATAGTTTGCAATGTGTTTTCAGTAACATTTTAAAATGACATTTTGTTTTAGGTCAAGCAGTAATTCATTATTTGTTTCTAGTGTATAGGGGAATAAAAAGGCGAGTTAAATTTAATTTTGATATATTTTAATGTAACTTTATTGTTCAGTTTTACTTTATATTATTTAATAGTACACTTAATAGTATTTTGTAGTTATAAAATAACTAACTTAGAGCTTTTCATCAACTATGAAATGAATCCCTGCCGTTTTTTTGGGGGGAGGGGAGGGTTGGGAGAATTTTTGTTGAACAATGTAGACATTCAGAAAAACAAAAAGCTCCATAAATTTTCACAAACTGAAAACAATCAAGTAACCACATCCAGATCAAGAAACAGAAACCCCTTCTCCTTCTTGTCTTAGTTTGTTTGCCACCCACTTTCCAAAAATAACCACTACCCTAACTTTAATAGGATAGATTTACCTTAACCTTTTTCTTGAAAACTCTGTTTTGCTGAATCAGTCCTCTAACTCAGGATGTGCCCTAGGACCATAATTCACCAGAAAATCCTCAGTGACAACCCTTCTTGTGGCCAGTGTGGGGTTTAGTCACAACAAACCGTATTAGTGAGGGGAGCCCAATGTGAGCAAATCAGCCAACATGGGTATTTTTTTAGATATCAAAGGGAATCAAAGATCCTACCCCAGGGCAGTGGTTCTCAGGCTTCAGGCATGTGAAGAACCTGAAGGGCTTATAAAAGCACAGGTCGTGGGGCTACATCCCTGGAGTTTCTGATTCTGTAGGTGTGGGCTGGGAAATACACGTCTAACCCGTTCCCGAGGAATGCTGATGCTGCTGGCCTGGGAAATCTCACTCTGGTAAGTACTGTTCTCAGGCACACTACCTGAGATAAGCTTAATATTTAGTCTTCCACCAATACTTAGAATACTTTGTTAAACTCATTGATTTTAGCACATTACCTCTCCAAGTTCAACCATAAGTTCACAGTATCTCTGAATTTGTCCTAATCTCAAATGTATCTCTGCAGCCTCCTTCAGTCTTTCCTCTTTAGTAGGAACACCAATACCACCACCAAATTTAGACATCTTGACTGTTGTTAATTCTTGGGCTTCAGACTGGTTAAAAAGAGAACAAAAGGTTCTAAATTTTGTTACACAAGAGCTGGTGATAAAAGATGATTATAATAGCATTACATGGGCACATATTTTAAAAGCAGATAGCAATGGAAATTAGGTATTTTTAAAAATCAATACTTTTCCTCTATAAAACATGATACCTCTTTCACCTTAATATTTTGATGTGTGTGGGGAGTAAAGAGTAGATGTGTCTGGTATGGGGTAGAGAAAGGCTAAATCCCACTGTCCTTAAAACTTAGCAGCTGTTATGGTTAGATACAAGTCCAGGGGCCAAAAAGTAGTGAATGATAGAGTGATATGTAACTGGTGAAAACATATATGAAAAATCTCAAAAATTAAAAGTGACAGGCTCACTCTCTAGGCTCTCCTACTGTCAGGTGGTAAGAGTTGTAGTGGGTAGGTGTCGTTTGTGATCAAGGCGCTCCTTTATGAAAATAACTGTTCCGTATGACCTTTCCATCCACATCTCTGGAATGGTTCTCCTCACCGACAGTTGAGTTAACCGCGGATGTTTCATTGCAAATATAAAAGCTATTTCCTCTTTCAGGTCCCAGGAGTGGTCTGTTTGTATGGTATATCACTCCAGGGATAAGGTCACTGATAATTTCGAAATGAAATTCATTAAGAGCTATAATATGGCCAGTTTTGATAAAACGTATCCGAGAATACAGCGTATTCAGCCTCTGAGACTAAAATCAGAGGGGTCCACACATCATGGTCACCTGGTAATAGGGTAAGGGTAACACCACTTCAGGTGGTGCCAAGTGACTTTGAAGAATTACACGAGATTCAACCTATAGAGACCGTGGCTGCCTTAATCTGGTCTCAAATAATTCATAGTCTCATGATCGGTTTTTACTATTTATGTTCTCAGTGGTTACTCATTTTACTTTACTAACTCTATGTAAATTTTGAAAAATAATGTTTATATTTCAACAGTGAAAAGGCAAAAATAATTTGGGCTTGAGTACAGGATCCTGACATACATACTTACCGTTCTAAATTTAACCAGATGTTTCACATGCATTATTCCTTTACGGTAGTTCTGAGGGAGCAAGCTGTCGTCCTGTCCTTTTACCACAGCAACTAAGTTCCATAAGTTGTCACTGCCACCTGGAGGCTAAAAGGTTGATACAGAAAAACCAAAGATACAAGGATGAATTAAAAACCACACGGAACTCTACATCTTCACAAACACAACGAAGGCATATTTAAATTGAAAGATTAACAAAATTATAACTATGCTTTATCTCATTTATTGTTCCTGGTTTCCATTTGTTTTCTTATTCCGTACGAGGTATGTTCAGGGGGACCCACTGAGTTGGGATGATATGAGCAAATACGTGATAACTTGAGGACAATAGTTGTCATGACTCGTTTAGACTACAGGGAAAATGTTCACCTAATTCCTATAATACTCACTGATAAACACTCTGAAAACCATCTTAGCTTCTTTGCTCGAGGATTACCAGTTAGCTTCTCTATTTCGTGTTTAATATCTCTTGATACTTTACCACACAATAGAGGGGGAGTGCCTTGTTCCACAGCATGATCTAAAGAACAGACATAATTCAGTGAGAAAGGGCTGCTTAGGAGATAGTATTGAAAAATAAAATCTAATGCATGCATATTGGCAATACCAATGTTCCCGATAATTTCTTCCCAAGATCTGTCTGCCAGAATATTTATTGGTAAAGGAGCGATTAAAGGTGTTAATGACCAGAGTCTCACTGTAGAGTCACGGGAACAAGATGCCATGGTGAAGGGGCGGCTGGGATGGCATGTTAACCCTGATGGAAAAGAAAAGAAACCTACTTTAACTAAAGTAAACATTGAAAAATACTTTTCACCTGTATGTATCTCATAAAACTTCTACAGAATTGAAGTTATAAAGGAGCGTTTTAAGACAGCATTTCTATTTTGGCTGAAAATGATACAAGAATATAAGAAATTATTTAGCATAGTCTATTAATATGGATACAAAATTGAATAATGACTAGCAAACGGTCCTGGATGAAAATGTTGAAATTACATTTCAGGTGGTTCAGCAGCAAGCATACTATCACGCCAATGGAATACATGGTAATGGTAATGGTAATGGTAATGGCAATGGCAATGGTAATGGTAATGGTAATGGTAATGGTAATGGTAATGGTAATGGTAGATGGACGGAAGTTCCAAGTGCAAGAAGGAACAGTTGGGACCTTCCAGTTAATAACATCCAGAAACAGTATCTCTCCCACACTCAGCCCCACTGCTTCAACTAAAAGTCCACTGATATGACATATATGGACACAAGTGGCTAGAATTCGGTACCTTTCTCTAAGGAACCATTTTCTCATCAAAGTTTGGGTTTACAAATGAAAGTGACATGCAAAAGACAAGAAATCTGGTTTCCATACCCAGCTCAATTATATTTATTGACTTAGTATCACATTAAAAAAATAAAATATTGTCCTAAATATCCAAGAGTAAAGGCAGAAGAATGGTTTGGTAAGTTCTATCTACTTTATCAATGATTCCCTGTTTCACAACTTCTTTATGAAGAGACAGTAAAGGAAGGGAGAAAAATCCAAGCCATATGTGTGTGCGTGTTTCTGTGTGCACAGAAACACAAATAATTTCTCATAATGTTTTGGATTATCTTGTGTATTCTGACATTTCAATAACAAGTACAATTTCTAATAAGAAAAACGTTCTTTTAAAATGAAGCACTGTAAGCCTTATTCAAAAAATATTGCTTTTCTCAGAAATTATAACCATCAGTAATACAACAAAATTTGAAAGTACATGAAAAACACATTACCATATACATCTGCACCGTGATCATAAACAGTATCCAAACAAGTTCCTTCTCGAGTGTCCCATACTTTTATAGTGTAGTCCCAGCTGCCAGACAGGAGAAGGTAAGGGATTTCAGTATTCCACATTAATCCCCTCACAGGTGCAGTGTGGCCACTAAGAATGTTTATGCAAGCATCCTGAGTATAATCCCAGATTCGAACAGAACTGAAAACAGAATATTACATATATGATACCATTCAAGTTCTAACTTATCTAAAGTACTGACATATTCTTAGTGGAGTACAATTATTTCTCCGTAAACTGGAAAAGCTTTTTAGTTTCAAGTTCTACTACAATTCTTTTCATCATGGAAATGTACAAATAATTAGGCTAGAGCTAGCCTACTTCCACATATTTTGCCTTACTTTAACTGTTCCTTTACTGCTGATACTAAATATACTACTCCAGTTTATAAACTTAAAACACTTCTTTCTTCAAGAGAAATATCCAGAACAGATAGAGCCAAAAGAAAAATATGACTAATAATACATATAAAATAATCTAACAACCCTCACAGTATTTGTACATCATGAAAATATAGCATGTTTGATGATGGGTATTATTTGAACAATCAATTCATCTTTATGCTCTTATCAAAGAGTAAACCATTCCTTCATGTTTTGGTCAATAAAATAAGTGGCTTAGTCAGTATGCAATCAGTCTAAAATCAAGTACAAAATTCAAATATAACTGAATTCATGACATTACTTGAATCTACCCATTGTACAAAGTAAAGAAGACACATTATATAATTTTATTTAAGGCTTATTTATTTCTGCTTTCTATAAAGACTTCCTTTTTCTTCCCCTTACCCTAGTACAGGACAATGTGTCCAGGCATATCATAACCTAACTTTGTGCTAATCTCTTATGCTACCATTTAAGTTATTTTTGGTTGATATCACTCCTTCATAAATAAGATTATGCTAAAGTGAGTTGTATCAAAATAATTTATTCTAAGAGGCATTCCCTAGAACAGGTATTGCTTTATGACATAATTTAGATTAGGCAAACATTAGGCTAACATAATTACATAACACAAAAAGAGTTTGATATACTGCACATAAGCATTATTTACAGGTGCCAACACCATGCTATCACCTATACGACTACTAACGAGATCAATAACCTGAATTTACAAGACTTTCGAGTTTCATTGTCATAAATAAGCAAAATGCTTACTACTACCTTTCTGACAAATATTTCTTAGACAGTGGTTGAAGATTATACTTTTTTCCATGTACCCACAGAATTCAGACACTGAAGTCTATGTTAACAGACTTACCATAAAGTCAACTCCTTCACTTTGACATTATAACCTTACTTTAAGTAACATTTCCAGTGAAAACCCACAGAAACTTCACATTGTTTTTCTTATAAAATTTGGATGGATGCCAAAATTTCAAGATGAAAATAGCTAATTATTCAATATTAAACTTGTGGTGACTGTATACAGATTTCTATCTGCCTAAAGTAAGATTTTTTTTTTTTTACCCTAATTTATCTCGTATTAAAATAGGGACCAAGCTGTACTATGCAAATCTATCCCGTTTGAATATAAAACACAGAAAAGATTTCAGGAACTTTTTCACAAACCCCCCCAAAAAAATGTTAAATCACTCTCATTTCTAAACACATTCTGTTCACGCTAAAATACAAGATCATCTTTTTTTTTTCTTTTCCTAATGAAAACAGAGTACAGCTGTTTTCCATATTAAATATTGGGTCATTATTTTAAAAAATTCTTGTGTTTTACAGAGATTTATTTGTTTTGGATCTTTTTTCTCTTTCCGAACTGATCCTTTGAAAATTTTGTTGCTGTTAACTTTGTCTCTAGTAAGATAGAAATAAGCATCTGTAGTAAACAAAACAAGTTAAAGAAATAGAAATCATGAATATGATGACAACTTAAGTGTGGCAAAATTTAATTTACTTTTGGCTAAATGCAATTAGGTAAGTGTTAACTGCCTGTGTGTACTTGTTACATATTTTCACCCAAAAGTTGGATCACATGAATGTGTACATTTCTAGAAAATTATAAGCTTATGATTTTAAGGACTAAAAAATTAAAATCCAAAACTACATACCCGTCATCAGAGCCACTGCAAAGAATTCCCTCCCGCAGAGGAGACCATCTAACATGGAACACTTTGGCAGTGTGCCCACTGAAGACTTTCAGCGGTTGATCAGAGCTGGTGGCTACGTAATAGACACGAACATTTTTATCTTCACAGCCAGTGGCTATCATGTCTCTGGAATATCATCAGTGGCACATTAAAATATGAAAAAAGTTGATACTATTTGTTACTGATAATTTTAAAATGTATTACAGTTCTAATTTCTGAAACTAGAATTTTTTGCTTCCTTAACATAGTTAGAAAACTCACAGAAGTAAAACCATGATTTCCAGAAACTGCCAGAGTGTGAAGGGTTTCCTTATATTCCCTTTTAATTGGTTGAATTGCTATTTTTAATCTTAGATCAGAGATCATGGAATCTGTATTTCTATAAGGTCTTTTTTTAAATGTCCAGGTTCATAACTTGGTGAATATTTCTCATACCTTTATATTTCATAGCTATTGGGTCTTAACGAGGGTCCACAATGGTGAGTAACTGAGATTTGCCTCCTTGCTGGTAAGCAAATTATTAATCATAGAAATTTTTCTGTGGCATGAGTACAAATAGCAATGCTTCCCCTGAAGGATGCTGGGAAAGCTCCCTGCAGACAAGGCTGTCCCAGCCGACGGAAGTTACAGTCCTGGGTTCCCAATTCTCTTTGGTGGCTACTCCAGTAGGAGATGCTTTAACTGTTCCCACTAAGGATCCTCTGGAAACATAATATGTGGGTCTGATCTTTTCATGATATTCGTTTGTTATTCTCAAGAGACTGAGAGTAAACTAAGAAACCATTTATACCCTTGTGTCATACCTGGAATACTGTTCCAAATGGAGTTAGGGCACTAACTCCAGCACTAACAGGGTGGAACTGTGGAAATCACTAATGATCATTAATGATCATACAAACAGCCCCCACACTCTAAACGTAAAGAGAGGAAGTTACACATTTGGACCCAACTGTCATCACAACCTTCCTTCAAATTGTTGATTTTTGTCATACGGGTCATAATACTTATATTTACTTAAGCCCACATGCAGAAATACACCAGTTTGCAACTGGCATGCCCATCTCTAAATGTGCATTATCACATCTGCCTACGGCCCAGGTTCTACACATGGGGAAATACACTTAGTGTAATACAAATATTTACATGCATACGTGAGTACGTCTTCGTGGCTATATGTATGTGGATACATAAATATAAAATCTTAAAAATTAAATAATAAACATTCAAGGAATGTACAGACATCCAAATTGTAAATTCAGAGATATCTTATGAATAAACTTTGTAAGTTCAAGGTATTTTTCACTTATCTCCTAAGGTGCTACCTAAAATATGGATACTCTATTAGAACATTTTTTAAAAAGTTTTTAAAAATAAAAATGAAATTTATTAGGTACACTTGGTAGTAAGCATGCAAGTTAAGTATAAAGGACTTTTTTTTTAACCAAGAAAACATATTGCGTTAATATCTAATTTTTATTTCAACTAGTCAAACGCTTACCAACCATATAAAGCAGAGAAATACGAATGTAGAACTAGTCTATCGGTCGGATACAAGGTAATCCTATCCATTTGTATACTGAAGAAATACTTTTTAAATAGTCACTTTGTTCAAGGCACAGTGAGGGTCAGCAGCACAGTGTTTTGCTGAGAATACGCTCCTAAAAATAGAGAACAGTTGCTGATCTCATGGAGCTTACATTTTAGAGGGTGAGACAGCCAATTTCCAACTAAAATTTAATTTTATTGTTTTTTAAAAATTATATATGTATATATTTATTACTCACATGGCTAATATTTGCGTGTCAAGTAGTTCCTGGTTGATTTTTTTTCATCATGAGTGTACTCTTTAACCTCCATCTCCTATTTCCCCCATCCCTTCATCCACCTTCCCTCTGATAACCATCAGTTTGTTTTCCATAGTTAAGAGTCTGTTTCTCGGTTTGCCTCTTTTCTTTCCCTTTGCTCATTTGTTTTCTTAGATACCATATGAGTGAGATCCTATGGTATTTGTCTTTCCCTGACTTCACTTAGCATAATACCCTGTAGATCCATCCGTGTCATTGCAAATGGCAAGATTTAATTCTTTTTTATGGCTGAACAATATTCCATTGTGTACATGCCACATCTTCTTTATGGTTCATTTTAACAGGACTTGTTCTTACAACCCATGAGCACAGAATGTCCTTCCATTTCTCTGTGTCATCTTCAATTGCTGTTAAAGTGTTTTACAGTTTTCAGAGTAGAGGTCTTTCCCCTTTGGTTAAATTTATTCCTAGAAATTTTTTTGGTTTTGGTGCAATTCTAAGTTGGATTGTTTTCTTATTGTCACTTTTTTTTTCATTAGAGAGAGAGAGAGAGAGAGAGAGAATGAGCACGGGAGAGTGGCAGAGGGAGAGAATCCCAAGCAGGTTCCACACTAAGCATGGAGCCCAACATGGGGCTCAATCCCATGAACTGTGAGATCATGACCTGAGCCAAAATCAAGAGTCGGATGCTCAACTGACTGAGCCACCCAGGCGGCCCCTTAAGTTCACTTTCTGCTGCTTCATTATTAGTGTATAGGAATGCAACAGATTTCGGTATATTGATTTTTGTACCCTGCAATTTTACTGAATTCTTTTTTCAGTTCTAATAGTTTTTTGGTGGAGCCTTAAGTGTTTTCTTTATACAGTATCATGTCATCTGGAACTAGAGTTTTACTTCTTCCTTACCAATTAGGATGCCTTTTATTTCTTCATGTTGTCTAACTGCTGTGGCTAGGACTTCCAGTACTACGTTGAATGACAGTTGTGAGAGTGGACATTCCTGTCTTCTTCCTGACCTTAGGGGAGAAGCTCTCAGTTTTGACCACTGAGTATGATGTTAGCTGAGGGTTTTTCATATATGGCCTTTATTATGTGGAGATATGTTCCCTCTAGGCCTACTTTGCACAGGGTTATCACGAATGGATGCTGTACTTTGTCAAATGGTTTTTCTGCATCTATTGAAATGATCATATGGTTTTTATCCTTTCTCTTATTGATATAACATATCGATAAATTTGCAAACACTGAACCACCCTTGCATTCCAGGAATAAATCCCACTTGATCGTGGTGTATGATTTTTCTTTTTTCTTTTTTTAGAGAGAGTGAGTACATAAGTGGGGGTGAGGGGTAGGGAAAGAGAGAGAGAAACTTAAGCAGGCTCCATGCCTAGCACAGAGCCTGACACAGGGCTCGATCATGCAACCCTGAGATCATGACCTAAGCCAAAATCAAGAGTTGCATGCTTAACAGACTGAGTCAGCCAGTTTCCCCTGATTTTCAAAAAATTTTTGGAAGTTTATTTATTCGGAGGGGGAAAGAAAGAAAGAGAGAGAGAGAGAGAGAGCAAGCAGGGGATGGACAGAGAGAGAGGGAGAATCCCAAGCAGGCTCTGCACTGACAGCATGTAGCCCGATGCAGCATTTGAACTCACGAACCGTGAGATCGTGACCCGAGCTGAGATTGAGTCGGATGCTTAACCAACTGAACCACCCAGGTGCCCCTGAATTTTTTTTAATGTTTATTTTTGAGAGATAGAGAGAGACAATATGTGAGTAGGGGAGGGGCAGAGAGGGGTGGGGGAGGACAAAGGATCCAAAGCAGGCTCTGCACTGACAGCAGAGAGCCCAATGTAGGGCTCAATTCACTAGCCATGAGATCAGGGCCTGAGCACTTAACCAACTGAGCCACCCATGTGCTCCTAATTTTTTAAAAAAATATTGTTGGATTTGGTTTGCTAATAATATTTTGTTAGATTTTTGCCTCTATATTCATGAGAGATAGTGACCTGCAGTTCTCTCTCCTGTGGTGTCTTTACCTGATTTTGGTATCAGGGTGATACTGACCTCATAGAATGGATGTGAAAGTTTTCCTTTCTCTTGTATTTTTTTGGAATAGTTTGAAGAAACAGGTACTAACTCTTTAAATGTTTGATAGAATTTGCCTGTGAAGCCGTCTGGTCCTGGACTTCTGTTTTGGGGTTTTTTGATTATTGATTCAACTTCATTGCTGGTAATTGGTCTGTTCAAATTTCATTTCTTCCTGCTTTAGTTTTGGTAGGTTATATGTTTCTAGGAATTTATCCATTCCTTCTAAGTTGTCCAATTTGTTGGCACATAGGTTTTCATTATATTCTGTTGTAATTGTTTGTATTTCTGCGATGTTGGGTGTTATTTCTCCTCTTTTGTTAATAATTTTATTTGGCATCTCTTTTTTTCATGAGTCTTGAATGAGGTTTACCAATTTTGTTCATCTTTTCAAAGAACCAGTTCCTGTTTTCACTGATCTGTTCTATGGGGTTGTTTTTTTAGTTTCTATATCATTCTTTTCTTTTTTTAAGATTTTAGTTTTAAGTAATCCCTACACCCAGTGTGGGATTCGAACTCACAACCCCGAGATCAAGAGTCACATGCTCCACTGACTCAACCAGCTAGGCAACCCTGTATCACTGATTTCTGCTCTAATATTTATTTAACTTTATTTGTTATAATTAATTTCATTACGTTAAGTGTTCCCAGGATATCACAGGAGAAATTTACCTAATACGGGTCAAAGAACACTTTTCTGTAGAAGTGGTTTGGACCTGAGAGCCAGAGCAGGGGTGGACATCACCTACATACAGTACAGATGAGCTGTATTGTATGGGTGTGGGGCTGGGAGCAAATCCTAGATAAAGGGAGACAGCATGAGGGAAAGCTGTGGTATGAAAATGAGCTGTCTCGTTTTTACATTATTTCACAATATCTAAAGAAAGTCTGAATTTCTATGTATAATTTATATAGCCTAAGGAGAGGTCTGAAACGCAAGATTCTTGGAAGTGCGGTGACTTGAAGGATCGGTTTTACCAGGGGTTTGACTTAAAAATTGGATCAATTTTTAAATCTGAGCCGACGTTCATATGGTGAGTACACTAGGGCCTTAAGCAAGGATGACCGTTCAGAGCTCTGCATGCGGGTTCTACGTTTGAGGAAGTCCTCCAATGCCACAGCATAGGCATGAAGTGGGCAGTGATGGAAAGTCCTGGTGGGAGAAAACCACGGGAGAGATCGCTGAGTGGGTTTAGGGAAAGGGCTGCCCACACCTCTGTGGAGAAGCTACATGTAGATTAGACTTGCTCTGCACTTCTTATCAATTAGCCCTCTGCTTCTTCCTAGAGCATCAGCTCGAACAATGACAAGACCAGGCAAAACGACCATTACCTAAAAAGAGTGAGGAGTACCACCTATGGGAGTAACATTAAATTTCATGGTTATTTAAAAGCTACGAGGCTTTTACTGATCTCGGGAGCAGAATTCTTACTTGTTGTTCTGGCTCCAGTCACAACCGAACACCGCAGCGGGGTGCTTGTACCTGTGCAACACTTGACCGTCAACTGTTCGGATAATGCTGAAAGCAAGTGTGACATATTAATAGAAGAAAAAACACCCTAAATACGTTATTCACAAAAACAAAGCCAGAATGGTTTAGTTCAAAAGGATAGAGACCTTGTCTGCAAAGCACAGGGAACATTTAAAAGCACGGTGTAATGACCAATTATAAGTATGTTTACATCGGACACTATTAATTATGGCGATCCACTCAATTCGGAGGTGATAAATTTTGATTTAGAAACTATTAGTTGAGGAAACACCTAGTTTAATACATGTATTTGAAAATGAGGATCTAACTGACATAAGCATTTGACTTTTAGCTTCAAAATTCAGCAGTTCAAAATCCGTATTTATGGCAACCCATTTATAATGCCGGCTGCATGTACTATTACACCAAACCCGAGACACAGAACTTATAACATTTTTCTGGCAAATTCTAATGCCAGAAAGAAGTTCTAACACCCGACTGTATATCATTGCCAAAATGCAATGACTATTGATTCCATTAAAAAAAAAAAAAAAAAAAAGCTGTGTATAAATTAACGTATTACAGGTTTTTCTAAGTCTCTAGAAAAAACCGTCTCAAACATCATTAGGCCAATGAAAACTTCTGGAACTACCTGGGAGTGGTGGTGACCTATGCTTACAAACGTTTAGTCACTGCCTGTGGTATTGATCAAATAAGCGGGGTCCTGACAGTGCATGGGAAAGCTAAATGTGTATCAGCTAACCAAAAACCTCAGAGGCACATCTCTTGTATTTGGCTATTTACCGATTAGCAGCAAATAGTTCTTTTCAGGGGGAAAAAGTCACTAATATTGTTATTTCTGAAAATTTTAACTTCCTGGTGAAAAGATCTTCGGTTTCCATAACAACTATCTTTTTCACTGAAATTTAAAAATGAGGAAGAGAAAATTGGGCTGGGGATTGCAGAACCTAACAGGAGGCAATGCTCACTATATTCTCAACAGCCAGGTGTGTCTACACCACCTGTCAAAGATGACAATGCTTAGAGCTCCACGGTAGCATCATTTGCTAACAGACATTTGTTTAACTCAAAGGCAATTCTTCCCTTCCATACATTTCTTGGAAACCTACTTTTTCCTGGGACTTAACAGAATGAAGAAAGCACATACTTCTGAAACACAGGGTCAAAGATAGTAGTCACCTAAAAAAAGGCATCTCCCACATGTATTACTTTATTCCTCCTTGCAAAGGCTTTTCATCCTTTTATAAATAACAGCAGCTACAAAAGGTGAACAAGTTTCTAGAGCACTTGTTATCTCTTGAACCACTTGTAAAACTAGAATACCACTCCCTTAAAAATGTGGTGAGGATTATTTAGGCTCTTAGTGAGAGGTCCTTAAAGTTTCTTTGAGGCAATTCACAGTATTTTAGTTACATCTCAGGTCGTAGTTCCATTTAGAAAGGAATTATTGGTTTATGGGTTTTAAACATCACCGCACTCCTATTACTAATACAGTAGAGCAACACAGCATGTGCCTAGATGGGTTTATATATGTTTAGGATAGTTGCTAGCGCTGTACAAATGGGATCTCACCGACTGTTTTGATGTATGCGCTAACACGATACAATCGGTATTATCAAATGTATTTTTTATAAACAGGATAACTTCATACACAGTACTTACCAGAAACCGTCACCACTGCAGGTGGCTATTCTTTTGGAATCTTTATGACTCCAGGCAACGCAGAATATTCCGTTTTTTCCATGCTTCAAAAAATGCAAAATACCTATCAATAAAAAATAATTCACCCCTTTTTTCTCATATTTATTTACTTCTTGTATTGCTTTTCTATTAGGAAGTTGCTCTAGATGACACTAACAGAGGCATTATTGTCAACAGCAGAAAGCTGGGTATATGCTTTTAAAATGAATAAAGCTATCACACTTAAGAAACAAAACCTCTGTCTTGATGTATAAATTGAGTGGCTCTACTCATTTTTTGCAGACACTGGCATAGAGGCAGAATCTGCTTCCTCGGCCGTCTGTAGAATAAAGCTCTGCTTAATGCCTTTCCCCGAAGTGCCACTCGAGACGAAGACAGTTATCTATCTGCTTCCTAACCAGGGGCTACAACTACAGTGTACGAAATACTGCAAGAAATTGTTATTAGTGACTGTTCTTCTAAATTTCGAAGTTTCATTTTTATAGAAACAGAGGAGAATGGATTTAAGGTTATTCCTACAACAAATCACTCTATGCTGACCTGTTCCTCTACATTCTTGGGCTGGGGACGGGGAAGGGACAGAGTCACAGGGAGCATGATAAAGATTTTTAAAACCGCAAGGAGTATATTATTCATGGGAACGTCATTCATCAACAGGGATATGGGCGAATAAAAGTTGCAATCAATCCATTTCCAACTTTCATTTAACTTTAAGTTCAATTGTGGCTGCTGCTAGGGAGAGACTAAAGTAACTTCTTACCCTGAGTTTTAAGACTCCTTTACTAAAATGGTCTCTAGTTGGCTCTTTTTTCCTCTTCGGGGGTTGAGGCAGGCAGCTGTGTAACGACGGGTACAAAAATGGAGGTGGTCTCTATACTCATGTAGTTGAAGGAGTGGAGGCCTTCCGTCAGCCTTGTTTGTCCCAAGGAAAGTGCACTTACGGCTTGAAGACCGTACCTAACTCGGTTAATTAAAGCTGGCATTGCCCCATATTTATCATCCTAGAGGCAGGCACTTTTTAGATCAGTCTCGACTATGCTACTGAATGCCGGGAGTCTTCCCGTATGGACATGAGAGACGGCCCCGATGCCAGGATGCAGGGCTGCTGGAGGCCGGACGGGCCGCGGTGGCACTGATGGACACCTATTTGAGGTCACAGATGCCAAGATGCTCTTAGAAGAGATCAACAGGACTGACACCTAAGGATAACATTTTTCAATTAAGGCCAAAAGTTTCTTTCTCGAGTTCTTCTTTTCTTTTTACATGACCACTATGGGATAGGTAGTGTTCTTGGTGGGAGGGAAGAGGGCAGGTTGGGGGCACAGCTGAAAGGGAAGTATTGTGATGCAGAGAAAGGGAGGGTTGTAACTACATGGTCCTTCGTCAAGGCTTCGTCTTTGCTTACAGGTCGTGGGTAACCTTTCCCTAATATGCTGCATTTGCCGCATTACTTGAGTGTCCCCTAGAACATCGAAGCTGCTTAACCCTTGTGGGAATATCAGATTTTGCATAAGTGGTTTGAAAGCCTGAAATATAAACCATTTTCAAATGAATTATATATTCAATAAACTTTAATAGCAATCATTTGAAATGACTGAAATTTTGAAATGGCGAGAGAGGCTGTTCCTATTTCCCTTGATTCACACCTAACACATTCTAACAAGATCACGTGGTTTCCAAATATCAGTGGTACTCTGTAGAATACGGGCTGGCAATTTAACTCCAGGCAGAAGTCAAGTACGATCTGAGACACTGCAAGCAGGAAGAGGGGAGGTTTTCGTGCTTGCCGTGGAACAACAGAATTTGAGAAGTGGAAGGAAATCCAGGAAACCGTATAATCCAACTTCACCATCTCACAGGCGAAGAACCCAGTTCAAGACATTAAATGACTCTGCCGGTGTCAGAAGCTGGTTAGTAACAGAATTCAGGCCGTAATTTTGGACTTGTTCTGAGTTCGGTCTTTTGACGACAACCAATTGAGTATCTGCCTAGACAATTCTGTGGAGGAGGATTCAGAATTCCTTTGAATTTCTAGGGGCGCCTGGTGGCTCAGTCGGTTGAGCAACCGACTTTGGCTCAGGTCATGATCTCACGGTTTTTGAGTTCGAGCCCCGCATCAGGCTCTGTGCCGACACCTCAGAGGATGGAGCCTATGGAGCCTGCTTCTGACTCTGTGCCTCCCTGTCTCTCTGCCCCTCCCCCACTCATGCTCTGTCCCTCTCTCAGAAATAAACATTAAAAAAAGAAAAAGAATTCCTTTGAATCTCTAATGCAATTTTAGGAGAATTTTTACATCTTAGACCCATCTACATTTTTCAGAGTTCATTTCAACATGTGTATGTTCTCTTGGATTTTTTTCTAAGGGACAGAACACAATGTCATCTGGTGATTATTAAATTAAGAGAGAAAAACATTTACAAAACATGAGGCAGTATAAGCCATCATACTACTCAGCTAGCAAAAAATAAACCTTACCTCATTAAATCGCTGTACCATTTTGCCCCTTTTCACATCCCAAATAAAAGCACCATTTCGGGACGTTGCACCAGCAATGCAGTTTAAGTCACCTTAGGAAACAATTGGTTAGACATGATACAATGTTTGACACATACGTAATTCTTTTCAAAATGTAATTTTTTAAAAAGTAAGACTTGTACTTTGTATTAACAGTTCTTTTTAAATGTTTTATAATGGAAATTATGAAGTATATGCCAACAGAGAAGAGTATAATGAATGTAACCATCCGAGAGTTTCAACAATTACCAAACCACAGTCAATCTTGTTTTGTCCATAGTCCCTCCTGGGTTGCATGGGAACAAATCTCTGACACTGTATCATTTCATCAGTAAATACCTCAGTATGGATGTCTAAGAGACTCTTTCATTGACATGAACAAACTATCACAATCACAAATACAAAAACTATCAATAATTGCTGAATATTATCACATTCCCATCAGTGCTTACAATTTTCTTTATCTTACACCTAGTTAATTTTGGGGGAGGGGTTAGGAAAGCACTTCTGTAGGCAGAATCATAGAAAAAATAAAAAAAACATAAATTATCTTTTTAAGAAATAAAAAATCTGTGAAAATCAAACTGCTGCTAAGTTAGTAAATGGTCTAGGACTTAAGTATTTTTTGCAAGGCAGACAAAGAGAGACTTTGTCCATTAAAAGAAAGGAAGAGTTGCCATGTGCTACCTAGGAGTAAAACATGGAGTAAAAACATGGAGGAAATGATAAATTATTAGAAACTTAAAAAAAATATAAGTCCTTACCATGTTTCTAGTATTTTCATTCTGCTACCCCTTTGGGTTCTCAAATTACTGGGGAGAAGCTTCTACATAAATCTGCACTTTTTTTTCTTTTCCTGCGGTAGCTACTCTAAAATTATGGCAAGTTACACAATCCTCTCTACTCTACTTCCTATCGACCTGCATTAGCCTTTTAAATTTTCTCCATACTTAACTAAAGAGCAATTCATCGGTAATCACATTTCAAAATATCAAAGAAAAAAAACTTAAGAATTTCCATTTTCCAACATGTTTACTTTCTTCAGGCAAATTCTCAGTGTAGAGTGAAATAATGCTTTTCAGTAATATTAGGTTCTGGGTTACGATTTCAAACAATGGTTTTTACACTTAGAATTTCTATTTAAGTTTTAGGGTTGAGACTTCTATAACATTCTGTAGGAGGAAGACTATCCAGCTACTAGCTGCCATAGTGCTATGTCACTGCATCGGCTGACCCAGTTCCTGCCTCCCTAGCCAGGGGCCCTGCTAAGCAGAAGCATATGGCACTGACCGAGAACACAGGCTTCAAAGTCAAACTGACAGCTGTTCACACCTTGATTCCACCACCACCCACTACGCACATAACCTTGGGTAAGTTACTCAACCTCGCTGACCTCAGACCCTCTTTAATAAATGTTGGTCATCACAAAAGATAAAATTGAAATGAAATGTGAATAAGGCAGCAGGTAAGAGACCTAGTTAGGTCTTTTAATCAGTGAAGTAACTTTTTGTTTTCAATTAGCCTTGTATGCATATTGGCACTAAGTATGTTCTTAAAAGAACAACTACTGTCATTAAGAGTTTGAAGTAAAATCGGCTTCTGGATCTTCTCCTGATTGTTAGACATAAGGGCTAAATAAAACAGCAGTAGGTTCCTAGCCTTTTTTGTATCACAGACCTCTATGAAAAATCTGATTCCTAAGATAATCTTTGACAGACATTGGCACATACACACATATGCTAAAACTTTTATGCATAAAATCCAAGAGACTCCCAGAATCTCTGAAGATGTCTAAAACCCTCGATAGCCTATAAATTCAAGGCTAATCATCCCTGTGCATGAAAAGATAATCTCACAAAAAGCTATATCCTGGTTATATGTGGATTTTAAATTCATAGGTCACCGTTAGCACAAGTAAGGAAAACATTCTATATACTTTATAAAGTGAAAAATTCATTTAGGTGTGTAAAGTGATTTATTATAGGGCAATAATGTTTTGAAAACAAATGTCAGAAGTTTCAAGGACATCTCTTCTCTCCTTTATGTACAGGAAGGTATAAAGACAGCATCTTTCTGAGATCAAAACAAAAGACCCTATTCTGGCAATAACAGTTCTTCAATATTACAAAGGTGAACTTTATATAGAATTACATAGTCACAATGGAACTGTGATGATTATATAATCATTCATATTTACAAATAGCTGTATCAGGGAAAGATATGGATTATAATTTTTTATTATTATTTTTTTTTACTTTCATGTGTTTGGCTCATATGAAAATTTTAAGGAAAACTTTTATCATATAAAATGTGTTGTACCTTTCAAGGCACAGCTATACAAATGCAACTAAAACCAGAAGGGTCAAGAGGACCCTTACTGACTGTGGTTTTCGTAAATGATTATGTCACATAGAAGGGCTCCGAAATCAACGGACCTGCAGGGGAAGTCTATTCCTAAACCCCACAAAAACAGAACCAACATACATACTAGAACTTATTTGCCTCTACAGTCATCTGGAGCAAGATGGCATTGAGAGAAGAATATAACCCAAACGAAAACAGAAGTTAAGAAAGTCATTTAGCTGTATTTTTTTTTTTTTCATTTAATTGTATTCTCTATTTTAATGAGCTGAGCCTTACCTGGAGCCCATGAGAGGGAGTAAACAACGCCTTCGTTCCCCGGGGACGTGTGCACGGCTGTCAACGTGTTTATGTCCCAGACTTTTATGGTGCCATCAAATGAAGCTGTCGCCAAAAGATTGGGGTCGTCGGGTTTGAATTTGCAGTCAAAGATTGTTTCCACATGCCCCTGAGAATGCAGCACAAAGAAGTCAGAACTACTGGGGACAATTCATGTGATTCATGAACAAATGACAGTGTCTAATCAGGTGACACATGGACCACGGTTTCAAACATTCATGTTAAAATAGACAATATATACTAACATGGTAATACAAAATGAGAATCGCTGCTGTGGTTGAATGTTCTCTGTGCTGTTATTACTATACTCTTTTATACAGATACAGATTTTATTCAACCACAATACCTCAAATCAGCAACAAAATACAAAAAAATTCCCAGGTGTCCTTTGTCAACTTCAATTCAAAAACACAAAACATGTCTTTTCTGATTATTATATTCCAGAGATTTATAAAGTGGGCGCCTGGGTGGCTCAGTCAGTTAAGTGTCTGACTTTAGCTCAGGTCATGAGTTCACAGTCATGAGTTCAAGTCCTGTATCGGGCTCTCTGCTGTCAGCAGAGAGACTGGAGACTGCTTCAGATCCTCTGTACCCCCTTTCTCTGTCCCTCCCCAGCTTGTGCGCTATGTGTCTCAAAAAATAAATAAAAATACTAAAAGAAAAGAAATGTATAAAGTAATTAACTATTAACAGTTACTGTGTCTTTCCGGTAGCATAATAAAAGACGAAGATAAAACTGAAACTATAGGTCCTTGAATGCAACTATTCTCTTTTATACCATGATGTACGCCAAAAGAACGTCATGATTTTGGGAGAATTGAAAAGTATCCAGCATAGCTTTGGTTTTTAATTAGTCTTGTTCCAAATTTTCTAACAACTTTATTCTTTAAAAATTGTAAGGAAAAAAAAATCACTGTCTCTTCAGACTGGCAGACATTATCAAAATGAAAGGAGCCAGTGCAATAATTTATAATCAAGGACTGTTTTTTTAGAACTATAAAACGTTTTCTAAATAAAACATTTCGAAATGAAGACACATTCTCAATAGAAACTCTACTGAACTTCGATGGCATGACTACTCCTTTGCTAATAGAAGTTGTTACAAATTTAAATGTAGTTTTGTATTTTTCTCTCTTCCCTTTCATAAATTATTTTGTAAGCAAATGGTAATCTGAAGTATAAGAAGAGTTCACCACACTGGGAAATAATTTACATGGAAAGAAAATTAAATAGTCTAGAAAAAATCTACAAATGCAATATTTAAAAATAACTAAGCTACACATTGTTACAACATTTTTTTTGGTTACCTTTCCATTTTTTTGGAAGATGAAATTAAACATGTCCTAAAATGATACAGGATTAGCGATTGTTTCCCTCAAAAAAATTTTTTTTTTTTTAACCAGGGCAATTATAGCTCTAGATCCCTTTTCTAAGTTTTTCTACAGAAAACCAACCAACACTTCAAGGTTTCTTAAGTATCTGGATCAGTCTAATGCAACACGATATAATTATATGCCTTCATTCAACTAAATTTAATAAAGTCTGGCTGTATGGCAGGCATGATTTCATGTCATGGGGATAAAAAATCAGACAAAAACATGAGTCCACAGCGAGTTTGTATTCTATTTTACACAGGGGCTTAATGATCACAAGAACAGAAGTTCACAGAATCAACAGATTTATTGTACTGATTCGATAACAATAAATCTTAGGAGAACACTGAACTCAACCTTATTCATTTCACAGATATGAACAACAAAGCTTGGACTTGTCCTTCCTTCTGAAAGAATACTGGTTTCTTATTTTGCTTCCAACATACAGTACAGAAATGTAATTTCCCAATACTACATGAAGGATCCACAGGGTGTACACAAAAACGGGAACACTACCAACCATGTGCAGTAATCATGATAAAACTAAATACTAATGAAGTTTAATGCTTAGAATTTTAAGAAACATAATAGTTTTCTTATCATTCTATATAAAATTCTAAAATGTTGCAGCCAACCAAGATAAGGTCCTAACATACAATTCTTTGCAAAAATAATTTTAACAATATTAATATGCAAGTAAAAGTAATTATCATATGCTACCACAAAATAAGTGTTGTGTATAAAGGAAGGAATGACTTACCAAGTCCCTAAGAAAATCCCACTTCTTGGCTCCTAGGTCATAAAGCCCAACCCCACCATCCAAGAAACAGCACACGACGTGACCGGGAGGAAGAGAAAATGCTTGATTCTGTGTCAAAGTTGGGGGAGGAACTGCTTCACTTGTTGAGGACGTATAATGATTTTTAGTTGGAGACTGGGTTGAAACTAAAAATGAAAAGAATAAACAAGTAAGTATTTATACCAACGGCTTCCCATAGTTTATAAAGATGTCCCTTTGTTTCCTTTTATCCAGAATTTATATCAATAAACCGTTAGACGATAACCGTATTTTCTGCCACAGGAGTAATTCAGCAGCACTGTCAAAAACCATACGCACATCTATGTAGAGGTGGAGGTGATTTTGCAAGGATATGTATAAACGTGCAGGTGGAAAAAAACGGATGAAAATTAGTTGAGTGAGGAACCACAATATGTGGTGAATACTGGGTTTCTTATCTCCCCATAAATTAAAGCACAGCATGATTATTTTTTAATTAGAATCTTCTCTCAAAATGCTGACTAACGGCTTACTTCCCCTCTACAGACACAAACATGCATGAATGTTTTTATTTTAAGGCTAATAACGCTCTTCCACTAACTTCCAATCCAATGAAAATATTTTTGACATTATTTATAATTCAAATTTAGCACCCAAATTAAGCATCACAACTCTGACGTACATTTACATCGCAATTTTTCTTTCTTCTTCCTTAGGTTTATCTTTACTGTTCATATATTCCCATTTCTCAACTTTCGATTATATTCTTTGCCTCATATTTGGTCTTCTTTCAAGAAGTTTTGCCTTAGAATGTGAATATTTTCTTGCAAACACAAATCAAAGTAATGACACTGCTGTAAATGATCAGACCAATCTATATTAGTTAAATAGTGGAATATAAATAAATATTTTCCAGTAAGTTCTTTTTGATCCAAATAAAGCCTTCCTTACTACATTCAATTTGATAATATTCATTTCTCAGAATCTGAGAATTACAGGAAGCCCAAACTAGCATAAACCATGAATAACAAAAAAGGCATTTGGTTCAACAAAATTCTGCTGACAGTTTGGTTAAAATTAGTATGTTCCATGGCTGGTTATTCTAATATTTTAATTTGCTGACATTATGGGTGATTGTGACATTTAAAAAAATTGTTTTTAATGTTTATTTTTGAAGGAGAGAGAGACAGAGTGTGAGGGGGGGTGGGCAGAGAAACAGGGAGACACAGAATCTGAAGCAGGCTCCAGGCTCTGAGCAGTCAGCACAGAGCCGGATGCAGGGCTCGAACCCACAAAGCGCGAGATCATGACCTGAGCCGAAGTCGGATGCTTAAACGACTGAGCCACCCAGGTGCCCACTGTGACATCTTTTATGTACCTATGTATCTATAACTTACCTTTTTGAAGAATTTGGTGACTATGTCTACATTTGAAAGTTTTCATTTTCACATATTTTTTTTTATTCCACATTTTGTTACATTAAAAAATTGAGGAGGGGAGAGGAATGAGATAGATATCTAACAACAAGTAGCCTGAAGTGATCTACTAAAAAATCACAAGATGGCTATGTGCTTCTTTTTATTTTTGGTATTATCTCTAATGGGCAGGGGCAACCCTTGTAATAATAAAAAAATATGAAAGAAGAGAAACTGTAATAGTTCAGTCATCCCATGGTAGCAACTAAACACAAATAACTTCAAAAAAAATACAGGATGCATGGATATGCTGGCCTCCAGCACAGGACTTGTCTGGCCCTAATGGTTCTGTCCCCTCCAGTTTCCAGGATCCAGGAGTGTTAGGCCTGCACAGCAAAGCTTAAATGTATGGAAAGCCTGGAAATGTATGAAAGCTCTGCCAACACAGAGACCTTCCCCTACTTGCGTCACCCACTAAGTTCGATACCAAATTTGCAACCCAAACCATAGGACTTTGATTAGGTCGTGCTAATTTTTTATTGTATTCTAAAGAGGGACAGCAGTAAGGAGGCGTCACGAACTCTTGAACGCTCGATCATTAAACTCCCTTCCCCATGTTTTTCTCCGATCCACACAAAAATGAAAGCACTACGAGCCACATGGAGCAATCATGATGGACTTAACAGGAAGTCAATCTCTTTTCCCTCCCTTAATTTGAATTAGGAAAAATTCTAAACCTCCCCCACACGCCAGACGGTTTCCTTTAGAGCTTAAGTGTATTTTATTATTTATCTTCATTAAAAAGCAACAAAAGATAATCGAGAAAAAAGGTAGACAAAAATAAATAATATCCTAAATAGCAGCTATGAGTCCAGTGACAACTGGTATTCACACATGTAACATATGTTCCAGAGCCTAGGTTTCAAGCATTTGGGTTCTTTCGACTTTCTTATAAACCCTACAGATTGTAAAAGAGCCACAGGTAAGACACAAAATGTCCTAGTTCAGACCAATTTTATTTGATCCCATTACTCTCGATATTTGCTATTTTCACAATGATCATTGCTTCATTTTCCCCATGTAGATAATTTGAGATTATCTTAACATTCTCATTAGCATTTTTTCCTCTTTTTAAATTCATTAGCATTTAAAAAATGTAACTTGGCTCTAAACATTTTCAACTTAGTAATATTAGATATTATGTGGCCTTAACGGGTCCTTTAGTACATACATTGTCAAAGGCTATTTTTAAAAATCTGCTTTTCAGGAGCATATAGTATTTGGTATGTCTATATATCATTATATCAGTCACTTCATTTGATAGCAACAAATCTGACATTTTAAAATAGTACATTTTGATGATATTTTTACTTACATTTTTTTCTTGGAGGAGAATTAAGTACATGTAAGCAGTGAAACCCTGTTTTCTTTAGTTTAAAATTATCTATAGGTGTTGTTCGTGAAACATTCCAAATACGCAAAACACCCACTTGAGAATCTAGTCGGATGAAGAAAACAGCATTGTATTAACGAATATTATTTGAAATATGAAATGCCCAGACATAAAAGAAATAACAAAGACCTCAACTTGTAGATTCTTAGCACCACTTATCAACACTCTTCAAACAATATTGCACAATAACACAGAGAAACAGGTGAAACAGTACTCATCCTTTACATTTTTGGCTCGTTTTGCTTTCACTTTTCTGTTCCAAATCCTCTCCTAGGGTGAAAGACTGCCTACCTTGGCAGTATCCCCTGAAAAGGTTATTATCCGAGTCTGATCACAAAAAAGGCAGCCCACTGCCACAGTTGCTTCAGGAAAGCCATCTAAAGAAACTGTCCACCGCTAACACTAAGTAATATTTTGTCTTTCAAATGCTGGTAAAATGCTCCCTCGCCCGCTTGTCAGCAAACAAGGACTACCTAAGGACAAGTCAGAAAGCTCTCTCCCTTCCAAAAAATCCCACCTGTTATATACAAGCTACTTTGGAAAATATTCTGGCAGTGCCTCACATGATTAATGAAAGCCAGCCTAGGACTTGCCAGCTGCACTCCCACACATACGCCCAACAGAACAATAAACACGTCCACACAAAAATCTGTAGGCAAACGTTCATCACAGCATTATTTACGACAGCAAAAAAAAAAAAAAAAGTGGAAAGAAGGTAAATGTCTGTCAACTGATACATGGCTAAACCAAGTGTGGTATGGCCACACAATGGAGTAGTATCCTTGCACAAAAAGGAATGAAGTACAGACACGCACTGCAACATGGATGAACCTTGAAAACTTTACGGTTAAGTCAAAGAAGCCAGACACATGCACTGAATCATTCCAGTTCTCGGAAATGTCTGGGGTAGGTAAATCCAGAGAGAGCGAGCAGTTCAGCAGTTGACATGCACTCCTGTGTGCACTTGGGGCTGTGGACAGCAGCTGACGGAGAGTGCCTGCTAATGGTTACAGAGTCTACCGGGGCAACGACAAAATGTTGTGGCAGGAGGTGGTGGGAACGGATGTACAACTTTGCGCCTACAGAAGTCGCTGAAGTCTACACTTCAAAATGCTGTTTTATTGTATGTGAATTTTAACTCCGTAGTAACGAAAGCATACTGAAAATGTTCATGTCTGTCATCAATTACATCCTAGGAAGTGAAAGGCCATTGCGATTATTTAAGTGAGACTCCCTGCACTTCCATGTGTGACGTAAGTACTGAAGGATGTAAAGAATTTCTTTAAGACGGTGGGCAGCGTGAAAACTCTCTTATCACACATGAAGCAAATGTGGGAGGTAGTCACCCAGTAGCTCAAAGTGCTCAGCCTTTCAGAGACTTCTCTCTTGGACCCTAAGTAAACAACACCAGTAGTTATTTAACCCTCAATTACCATTTTGGATGCCCTCATTTTCCCTTCCCATCACTTCTGAGCTTTACCAATTCTCTCACAATTAGGCAACCACGAAGGGGCTTCTGTTGTAGCCATGGTAATAAATTCCACTTTCATTTCCAACCTACGCTGAAAATGCCTTGGTCTCTCTCGGTACCCGTGGTCCCCGACAACCAAAATCACCGGTGAGGAAACAAGCTCCCAGCCAGGTCAACCGTTTTTCTAGTCAGTACTTTTCCCGTCATCCTTCCATGCCCGAAACTGTATTGTCCGTGTGCTCTGTATGCACGTGAACACAAAAACCCGAGCGCACGTGTGTGTACATGTGTGCTCATACAGACTATATTCCAGTTTATTATCAAAAACCTGGAAAACTGGGCCTTAATTTCGTTTTTATCATTATGTTAATGACACACAATATAAAGGAAAGTAAACTAGGCATTTACTGTAATAAATAATACTGGGATATTAATTCATTTTACACAAAATTAACCAATAAAAGGGTATCATTTCCCTGACTCCATTAAAGAATAAACATATATTTAAAACTCTGGGGACCAGGGTAAACTCACCTCCAGTGACAAACATCCCGGGAGCACTGGGAACCCAGGCCAAGCACTGGACAGAAGCCGCTGCACTGGGAAAATTAAATGTTGTGATGCAATAAAGGGATTCCGAATCTAGCAGGCGAATTCCAAAGTGCAAATTAGCCACAAGGAGATAATCGGTAGACAGCGGGTCCCATTCCAGGGCTGTCACTGGATCTTCTTCATCTGTCCCTTCAAGAGAGTCAGGTCTCAGAACATGTTTCTGACTTTTACTACCTATTAAAATATAAAGAAGAAAGATTTTAAACACAATGCTCAAAAGAAAATTATTGAGGGGCGCCTGGGTGGCTAAGGCGGTTAAGCACCCGACTTCAGCTCAGGTCGTGATCTCGCGGTCCGTGGGTTCAAGCCCCGTGTCAGGCTCTGTGCTGACAGCTCAGAGCCCAGAGCCTGCTGTGGCTTCTCTGTGTACCTCTCTCTGCCCCTCCCCGGCGCGTGCGTGCTCTCTTTCTCCCTCAAAAATAAATAAAAACATTTAAAAAGAAAAGAAAATCAGTAACTGCGATCCTATTAATTTTCTCTCTGCATAGTGCTGAAGTCTGGCATCTGTGTGCAGAAGTCACCATGGACACTTGAGCGCAGGAGGATGTGGAAGCCTCAGCCGCAATCCCTAGAGCCCAAATGCTTCTGTTTGTTCCCAAAACGCCAAAGGAAAAAGACGCAGATAAAGAATACCAATGCTCTTGTCATCAACTACTACAACTACAGTGTGTAGGGGCGGGGACGTGCTTACCAAGAGGAGCACCCTGGAGTGATTAAAAGCACAGACTGGGCAGTGGACTGCCTGGGGGCAAAGCCTGGTTCCACCACGGACTAGCTGCGTTCTCGGACAGGACACCGAGTCTCTGTGTACTCGGGTTCCTCATTTGTATGATGGAGAACAGAACAATCCTTAGCTTGCAGTTTTGTTAAAGATTAAGGGAGTTAGCTGCTTACAGGGCTAAGAACGGGAGGGCCTCTTAGAAGCAGCGTATCGGTATTTACTGTCCCTCCTCGTGCATCAGAGCATCTGTCGTGACCATAACTCACTCCCGACATCAGGTACAAATAAGGCAGCCAGAAAAACAGGGACATAAAACGTGTGGAACCGAATGAAGCAAAGAACGATCAAACAATCCTCTTGTGCCGTCCCAACTGAGCTACAACTGGCAAGAGGGAAAACATGCTTCTGCTGATACACCACACAGGGCTCCAATTAGCCGGCCTCGGTTCCCAGAAGACCGGCAGTGAAACAACAGAATTCAGAGGCCATGATGTTAACACAAAGAACCCACTCCTCCTGAGCACTATAAACCCTGCAAAGCGTGTTTACTAAACCATACCCCACTGACAGACACCAGAGCCCTTTCTGTAATCTCATCATTACACATTGTTTTTCAACGTACCAGATTATAAAAGCAGAAAAAATAAATTTCCTTGGATATATCTGTCAAGTGAACTGAACACCTTACAGTTTCTGGCCTGGGAGTAAATTTGTCAGAATACACTGATCTTCATAATGCTCATCTTACAAGGGCAGAATTTTATTTAGAATTTTTACACATAAAATCATAGAAGGCACATGTGATGTTTCATCAAAATTTATCAAATTTTTGCAATCATCATCAAGAAAAGTTTGGCTCTTCTTGCCCCAAATAAGCACCTTGCTAAAGTGCTATTTGATATAAAAAACAGTAATGAATATTAAAATAGCTATTCACTGTAAGCCAGAGAGAAGAAGAAAAATGATTCACCTAAGTTGTACTAGTTATTTCTTAAGTAATTTTTAGGTATTTGCATATGACAGTTAATATCAATGGCTTATTAAAAATATTCCAGCATTCAAAAAAAAAAAAAAAAAGAGTAAATGCTAAATATTGAAATTGGGTTGCTTCAAAGCCCCATACAGTCAAAATGATTATGAGTTATAGCCATTGCTTCCTATTCTGTCTAGTACCAACATTTTTATTATTAAAAAATAGAAAGCTAAAGCTGTAAAATTTTACAGCCAGGCATTAGAACAAGAGCTGATAATACTTTCATTATTTTATATGTATTTATGTTACTATTATTTATGTTCCATTTTATTATACAAATATCAGACAACTTGTGTTGTCAGATGAGGACAGGAGTGTATGAAAAGACTCAGTAAGAAGATGAGGTTGACAATTTCTGTATGAAAAACAAAAACTGGGGCAAAGGAAAACTAGGGCCGAAAAATAAAATAATGAGGATAATGTATAATACACATATCTGTTCAAATTTTCATTTTGAGACCAGCAGCCCAAGCAAAGTGGAAAGAAATCAAGAAAGGTTACATAATTCAGGGTCCACAGGATAAAAATAAAACAAAAAGACACAAAAAAAAATGTGCTCAGGAGAAGCACAACTTTTCCCAGAAATGAGACCAGCAATACATGTGTCCCGTGTGTTTTCAAAAAGGGAACACAGCATTACATAGGGACAATGTCATCAACGTTCCTAAAATAAAACCATGCAAATTTGATTAATGCACATCCTTGGAATAACACCAAAGTCAATTCAATGAAAACATTCCTATTATGAGGATAAAAAAAAAAAA